CTGAGCTACGAGAGCACGTATAGCTTGTTCTCATCGCCAAATTAGTCAACTTCTGGACCCCAAGACATCCTTCCTCGTCCCCCCCCCCGAGGGGTATTACACTCTAAAAAGCGGGGTAGGCTAGGAAAGTAGCTCTGATACCAGGTGTTATGAATGAACTTGCAGAGTACGCAGTAAAACGAATAACGAGAATGACTGATTACTGAATTACTGAATGACGATACAATGGAAGTGACGAGGCCTAAATAGGGGAAGTCCTAGCAAGGCGGGGAGGTTGGGCGAGGATGGCTCGGTGATGGATGCGATTGGTGCGGAGGCGACTCGGGGGTGGTTCGGTGCGACGAAATAGGAAGGACAGGTTCGTCGCGTGACCCTCGGGATGGCCTCGCTAACGAGTGCCTCAGTAAGGATCCTGTAAATCCTTACAGAAGGGATCGGTTCGCGCACATGTAACGCGGATATCACAGCAGGGATTACCGTACGTAATCAATGAATCAAATAAGTTGAGCCGCTAGAAGTAATCAATGGGTGCTACGGTATATGCCACATCCCTATTCTGTGCCAGCTTTCCTAGATCACTTCGTGCAAATCCTCCTCCACTTCACTTGTCACTTCAAATTCCGCATCTTCCTCCCTCCACGTCCTCTCCATCTCCACCACTCTCTCCACATCAAATCCCTCGGGCACATTCACCAACCAATCACTCACATGGCTCACCACACGTTCCATCACATCGTTCCTCACACCGTCTCTGCTCGTAAGACCGTCATCATATCCCATCCCATCCATTCCCCACACCTTATCCTTTCCCTCACGTTTGAATCCATCAATTTGCACCTTTCGTTCGACACCGCTATCAGATGAGGCAAGGGAGGAGGCGATCCCGATGCTGAGGCCAGCCATGGAGTAGACGCGCCCGTCCCACTTGCCCTCGTTGCGCACATGCCACGTCTTGAAGCGCGGGTCCAGCTCAGCCCCCTGTACAAGCACCACCACGAGGCCGCAGTGCCGCAGGCCCAGCTCGTCACTCTCAGCCCACTCCCCGCCATCCATCTCCAACCACCACTCCTCAGCCGCCTCCTCATCATCCACACACCCATCCCTCCACATGTAAGCCCCCTCCTCACTCCGTTCCTTCAACTGCTCGCCCATGCACGTATGTGCTTCATGGTGCTTCAACATGCCGCTGTGCTCCCCATCGGTCACCTCCCCCACTGGCAGCAGCGCCCCTGCCTCGCCCACGCGCACGAGGTCAGGCATGTCACACAGCAGTGCCACCAGCCGGGCCTTCATGGACCACCTGGGGAAGGCACGGCTGCTGTACCCGTGCCTGGCGAGCAGGCTCGGCAGGGAATGCCCTGTGTGCTCCTCTAGCCTGCCTGCTAGCTCCTCCAGCCACATCCACCTGCTGCTGCTGCTGCTGCTGCTGCTGCCGCGTCTAGAGCTGTTGTTTTGAAGGGGTTCAGTGAGAGCAGGGGGGGCATCCCAGTCAGCACCGTGTGTGAGGACGACCCCCATCACCACACGGCGCAGCCCTGACTGCACGAGACTCACCAGCTGCAACGCCCTCTCGCTCACAACCACTGCCAGCCTCTGTTCGCGCTGCACCCAACCCCTCCCAATCGCCGCTGCACCCACAACCCAAGGAGGCGCAGCCCCAGCCTTACCACCACCCAAGTTACCACCCTCACCAGCGCTACCACCCTCACCAGAACCACGTGTGGCCACAACACCAACCCCATTGCCTCCTTTGCTGGTCGTACCTCCCTCCCCTCCCACCGCTCTACCTCCCTCGTGATGAACACGTGCGTGTACCCCTTGTGCAGCCCCTCCACACTCACGTCCGCGCCTCTGAAGCAGGGGGAGCAGTAGCAGTGGGGGCGGCAGGGAGGGCGGCAGGGGGGTGTTCGTTGGCACAGAACGGGGTTGTGAGGAAGAGAGGGAGGGGCAGAGGGGAGGATGAGGCCCCATAGCCAGTCTGGCCCCATGGTGCCTTGGGGATTCCACAGGGGAGCTCGTGAAAATGCACCTGTGCAATAGGAATGGAGCAGCACGGGCCAAGCCAACGGAATGACGTTGACAGGTTTCTATACGGAAGAGGAAATGGAAAACCGCGGGGAGAGGAAAGGGTCATGAGGCATAATGCAGCTCACCACTCGAATCCTTTCATGGCCGGAATCTTCTTCGTGAGAGCTTGATATCCGTCGATCAGCTCCTGAATCTGCTCTGCCGTCCAATCCGCCTTGAATTTCGCCAGGAATACGTGCTTCACAGTCGATTTTCCTATTTTAGGCTTCAGCAGAGTACGCGATAAAAGCAGGCCCACACCAGTACCGACAAGAGCGGCAGCCGCTGTGATGATGGAAGCGAGCTCTCGAGTCATCTTGCCGCGATCACCTAAAATTCGTGCGGTGCGAAGGCGGTGGGCGACGGTGAGCACTTGGGCTCGCGGCGACGAGAGCAGGCAAGATCGTAGAGATGAGCAGAGCGGAGAGTGGCGAGTGAGCGTGAATGTTGTAGTGGTGTTCCCCGTAAGGGTGCGTCAGATCCGCTACAATGTGATTTGGCTGGAATTTTGTCGACAATTTGGTCGACTGTATCTTTCGCCAAAGTCGACAACGTGGTCGACATAAAAAGCGACCAATATCCGGCCACATTTACAGGGCCGAAAAATCTGACACATTTGGTGGCCGATTTGCAGGCCGCTTTGCAAATGTGTCAGATTTTCAGTTCGCTAGGGTGGCCGGATTGTGCGACGGAGTCGCAGATGCAGTACTTGTGTGACACGTTGCGTCGCACGAGCTGGCGACGTCGTATAGTGACTGTAGCGATCTCAGGTCGACAAATTGGTCGACTTTCGAGTCGACTGCACGTCGGAACTTTGTCGAATGCTGAACCGGCCATCATTTTTTTTTACAAATGGCCGGATTTAGCGAACTCGACGACAATTTGTGCGAGTGTCGCAAACTTGTTACTTTCGTTAATTCCGGCCGGCCGGATTTTTCCGACAACGGATCTGACGCACCCTAAGGAAGATTTGGAATATTGGCGAATCGAAAGCTCCCGCCTGGGCACGAGGATCGCGGACGGCGTGGATCTTGTTACACTCAAGGTGGTGTACCAAACAGATCAAGTTCATACCATCGTGCAGATAGTGTAAATTGTCATAAAAATAGCATCTGATAATCACAAATTATATCGTTATTGCCTCCAGCACTGGATCACAATGCCCCTTGCACCATCATCGACCAATGACAGCACGATGTATAGGGAATAGTAACTACCGTAAGATAAGACCTCGTAAGGACATATACCCCAAGGCGAGAGGGAGGAGACGAAAAGGGAGAACTGACGCTGTATCATCTAATCAGGCAAACAGCAACGACTGAGTCCAATGCATCACTGCACACAAGAAGCAGGCACTTATGACCTATCTACTTAGGAAACACAACCAACGGCATACGCCGTGCGGGGAGCTGGATACTGAAGGGCACGCAGACGCGCCGCGGAGATCCGCTCAGTCCGCTGCGGGGTTGGCGAAAGTAGCTTGGTCACATCCCTGAAGCCGTGCGACGACGCCGACGACGCTCTGCATCGCCTTCAAGGAGATACGCGTATCGGGCTCGGTTGCCAAGTCGAGGATGAAATCTACTGTTTCCCACACGATAAACGGCTCGATTCGAATAAGAAGAGGGTCTAAGGGCCGATGAGCTGCAGGAGGTGCGGCTGCGGCTCGGTGTAGAGCATACCGACGGCGATGACGAGCGGCACGAAGCCGTACTGCGCCGCGACCTTGGCCTTCCGCAGCACCCACGTCGGCCACTCCTTTACGGCCCGCGCCACGCGCTCGTAGTCAAACAGAGCCATCGCGACGCCCGACGCGCGCAGAGGAACAGGAGGGATGCTAGGAGGGAGCAGAGGAGAAGCAGATCGAGGAGGTTCGAGGGAACGGAGCTGGCGAAAACGGTGAGATGTGGGGAGATGTGGGGAGCGTGGATGGGAAAAGGGGCGAGAGAGAGCAGCTGTCGAAAAAAATGGGTGTATGCAGCTGATTATGCGGAGTGTACCTTTTGAATGTTTGTATGTACAGTGGTTTCACACAAACATTTCTTCGAATGCATTTGATGGGCCGATATGGATCAGCCTCGCTCACAGGTCGTATCGCAATCACAATCCGGTTGTGCTCTCCGTTGCAAGCCGCCATTGCTTCCAAACAATCATGCCATAGAGAGGATGGCATTCAACCACCTAGCAATGATACCTCCACTCCACATACGCACCGATACTCCTTAGCTCGCGCGCATCGCCATCTCGTTCCACGTCCACCATGCCTTCTGCAATGACTTGACCAAAAGCCCGCCGCCACTCACGCATTGCTGGCAGCAGCAGCAGGAGAGCGACTGACGCTCTCGCTTCGGCGTCCGACACGACGCGTGCCTACTACCACGAGGCTCGCTGGCCCAGCGCCAGGACTCCCTTCCGCGAGAACATATGCGGATTTCACCAGCGATTGTGCGAAATGCCTTCGCGAACAGGTATCCTCGGCAATCGAGGGTTTCTGTTGCTGCTGGTCGCGGTCGTACTCGCGTCCTATTGGCTGATCGCCGACGACAGCAGCAGCCAAAACGACCTTCTGGTCGGAGAGAACTTTCCGGGGGGAGACTCCCCCGATGCCCTCTCTGAAACACTCTCGCTAGAAGAAAAATCCCCGTTAAAATCACGTGAATCTTCATGCGGAGACTGAGTCACAGCAACAAGAATCGGGGAGCCCACCCCGTGATACTCATTCAACCCAGCGGTCTGGCTCTTCCCGTTACTGTCACTTGTACCAGGGTCGATGGGTGAGGGGCGCGAGAACACCTGTTTCTCGTTATTACCACGGCGGGGAGGGCTTCTGGATATCGCAGTGCCTGTGGGAGAAATTCAACTGCCGCCGCATGCAACGGCCAGTGGGAGATGGCCGGGGGAAGCAGCGCGGAAATGCAGAATCCGAAGAAAAGATGCTGCAAAGGCGACGGTTACAAGAGGAAGGGCAGCAGGAGGAGAAAGAGAGAGGTGTGGGGGGAGGTTCGGTGCAGACGAGTAATGCAGGGGCGCATGAAGGGACGCCGCAGCAGGGAGAGCAGACCGGGCGAAGAAGCAGATAGGCGGGAGATAAGGGCAAGGAGGAGGGTGGGAAAGAGAGGGAGGGCGAGGGCATGAGGCGGGACTTAGCGTTTGAGGAGTATGGGTGGCAGCCCCATGGGTGCGACGTGCCTGCCTTCAACGCCTCCGACTTCCTCCCAAGGCACGCACGGCCCTTTCCCCTCCCTCACCCGCACCCCATCTGGCGCCCACTGCAGCGCACCAGGCGCTAGGCAAAGCCATGGCACCTCGGCTCTCGGCGCTCGCTCCCTGTGCCACCACCTCAATCCAAAACGCCCGTGCCCCTTCACTGGCAGCTGTTGGTGCCATACATGCACTCTCTCACTTGCCACGCCATGCAACATCTCACCGCCTTTCCTCCTCCCCTCCTCCCATCCTCCCCTCCTCCCCTCCTCCCCTCCTCCCGTCCTCCCCTCTTTCCCCCTTTTCCCCCCCTTTCCAACCCCATGCCATGCGTGTGCCAGGATGCGCCACCACACCGTGGCGCTGGTGGGCGACTCGCTGAGCCGCCAGCAGTTCCTCTCGCTGCTCTGCCTGCTCTGCTCGCCCCCCGCCCCCGAGTGCTGCCGCCCAACCACACCCACCCAGTCAACGCAGCCAGCGAGGGCAGGGAGGGCGGGCAGGGCGTGGCGGTGGTGGACGTGGGGTGGCGCTTCAACCTCACGTGGGGCGCGCCTGTGCGCGGCACTGCCAGGGGCGCGGCTGTGTGGCTGCCCGGCAGCAACACCACGCTGCTGCAGCGCACGTCCAACCTGCTGTGCCGCGAGGAGGTGCTGCCCGCTGTCGTGCCTGTGGAGGAAGAGGGAGAGGAGGAGGAGGAGGAGGGGGAGGATGAGAAGAAGGAAGGGGGGAGTGAGGGGAGAGGGTAGAGGAGGGCGGGCAGGGGCGGCGGCAAGTGGGGGCGGGGAGGAGGCGGCAGTATCGGCGGGTGGTTCAGGTGTATGAGGCGGACGAGTGGCTGCTGCAGCACCTGTGGCGCCTGGATATGGTCGTTCTCAGCACCGCCAACCACTGGACTGCCCACAGGTGCGCGCACGGGGAGGGAACATGAGGCGAGGCATACACGCAGGCAGGAAGGCAGGGTCTTCGGGTTGTGTTTCATCACACGCCCCTCACTCCCGCCACCCACTCCTCATTACCTCCGCCCCTCGTCCTCCCGGCCCCTCATTTGCACTGCCTTACATCCCCCCCCCTGTCCGTCCTTCCCGTTCCTTTGCCCCTTATCTCGCCATCCTCCACCTCATTCTCTCCCGTTCAGCTTCAGGGCCAACCAGCGGGCCGTGCAGACCTCCCCCACAGCCCAGCCGTTCGTGCCGTCTGAGAGTCAACTGGAGTCAATGCCATTCCTGGCCGACCTGCGCGGGCAGGCACTGCTGGCAGTCATGCGCTCCCTCGCGCTCTCAGTTGCACACTCACCCCGTGCCGCTGCGGCGCTCATCTTCCTGCGCTCTGCCTTGCCCAGCCATTTCACTGGCGGCACCTTTCAATCCGGTGGCCGCTGCCACATGCATGCGGTGAGTGCACACACCTGGTACGGCCATATGCACGCTGCGTGCACATGCATGAGCACAAGCTGTTGCAGCAAACAGTAGCGCTCTGCTGCACATGCTGCTCCCCACCACCCCATACATATCTGAACATTTCTTCTTCCTTGTTCCCCTCTCTCTCCTCCCCCCGGACCCATTCCCGCCAGGAGCCCCTCTCACCTGCAACAGCGTGCCCACATGCTGCCGACTGCCGTGATGCCGCAGCAGAGGAAGCTGTAGCAGCTGCCAGCGCTGCTGTTGCTGCCGCTACAGCTGCTGCCACCGCTGGTACAGAAGCCGGTGCGGCCACCATGCCTGCCGCACCACCCTCTGCCTCGGCCGTGCCTACTTCCATGTCGGGGCAGCCCAGCATCCCGTGGCTGCGCCTGCTGGACGCCTTCCCGCTCTCCCTCATGCGCCCCGACACCCACGTCGTGGCCTTCCACCCACTCCCAAATGCCCTCCCTCTGCCCCACCCGTTCACGTCAGAGAAACCGCTGCTGCCACACGAGGCAGTGAACGGGTCGGTGGTGGGGCGGGGCGGTGGTGGTGCAGGGGGGGTGCGAGTGGGGGGGATGACGCGTGACTGCGTGCACTGGTGCCTGCCTGGCGTGCCTGACATCTGAAACGAGCTCATGTATGCCGACCTCCTGCAGTCTGACCTTCTCAGAGCCACTTGATTCCACTTACGCTTCTCGTAATGAGCACCCACACAATCTATCCCGACAGCATCATCAGAGCTGGCCCCCTTACAGATGTGATGTGAGCAATAGACGACGCAACAAGGAACCCCCTATGGCACACGAGAGATGCTGCCTTTGTATATCAAGTCAGTGCTATGAGATGCAAGCAACAGCGGGAGTTAAGAGTGGAGAGAGTGAACACAATATGCTCTCGCTCTCAGACTGGTCGGATAGAATTCAGTGACAAGGGCAGGCAAGTGTCGCCCACTCTAGTCCCTGTCCACCGTTCCTCTGCCCCTGCCCTCTGGCTGTTGCTCATTTCGTCGAGCAAGGATGGCGTTCTGCCAGGCCAATGACTCCTCTGCTCTGCACTGCCAACACACCTGTTACCACCATGTTTCCCTAGATCGCACTAAACCGCTACCCCGTATGTCTCAGCCGCAGTGCAAAGCTAGCTACTTTGCGCCTGAGCTTGTTCTGCCTCCTGCTTGTTCAAGTGTGTACGATCCTTCCTGCAAGCTTTGGGGGTGGATTGTAGCCCCCTGACACTGCTATAGAAAATACAGCATGGCATCCATGATATAAACTCAAACTGTTCTTGCCATCTCCAGGAATAAAATATGAGCTCCAGAAGCATCACGAGGCTGAAACTCGAGAGACATGTCACTTTTGCTGGGCGCAGCAACCTGCAAAACGGCCACGGGCAATTATAACGCATTTTCTGAATATATAAAAGCGGGTATGAAGGAAGTGGTGAAGCGCATACCTGCAGGGCATCACGGGCATCGAGTGACTCCTTACTGCCACTCTGCTTGGAGGTCACAGTGAGGCCACCCTCAATGCACAGCAGGTACATCTGCCGCCCCCTCTGCAGTGTGTACTCCAAGCTCCTCGTAGCAGCAGCCGATTCGGGCGTGGCACTCACTGGGCCATCCATCTCCGAGACAAAGATGTTCACATCTTGATTCACGGGAATGATTCCAGACCCGGCATCTTGATTCGAACCATAACGGTCATAGCTGGTTACCACTTGCTGTAGCTTGTTGTGGCGATCGCTCTTGCTGCAAAACATGGGAGGGATTGAAAAGGAGAAAAACAGAAACACCAAGTCAGAGACACTTCATGCACATTCCAGTCGCAGGTCTTACAGTCAATACAAGTACTAAGCTATCCAAGATGGAAATGACAAAACGATGTGAGAATGAGGGACCGGATACGGACACAATGGACGTGAATGGAATAATGCGCAGAGAAAAAAGGTGGCTTGTGTGTTGCGCAAAGAACCTTGATCTCACCTGAAAGTACGTGAGCCATAATTGGGCTTGAGACCCCTTGCATTCGGCTTCACCCAGATTTGAATAAACCGTTGCCTGCAGGTCCGGATAAGGAGGAGAACAGACAATGCATGGAAACGGGAATAAACTTACAGCAAGGAAAAGTACAGGGTCAACAAGGCTAAAACAATTAGGACAACGCGGATCGTGTTGATGGTCACATCACATGCACGTACAGGTGGTTGGAGTGGTTCATCTCGGAGTGCGTGACGCCCGTGCCCGCACTCATGTACTGCACGCACCCACGCCCCAACGTCTCCGCTGTCCTTATGCTGCCAGGCCCGGGTCACGGTGCAAGAAAACATCACATGATGACAATGGAACGCATTATAACGAAAGTTCTCTGCAACGGTTGTCATGAATGGAATCGTGTGCGCATTGAAGCACAACGGCTGGATGGTGGAGGGAGGCGAGTCACGGGGGACGAGGTTCAAATCGAGGGGCTGAGGTTCAAATCGAGGGGCTGAGGTTCAAATCGAGGGGCTGAGGTTCAAATCGAGGGGCTGAGGTTCAAATCGAGGGGCTGAGGTTCAAATCGAGGGGCTGAGGTTCAAATCGAGGGGCTGAAGGATAAGTTATGAACCGAGAACGTGAAGGGCGTGTGGGAGGGACCTGGACGAGGTCGTCGTTGAGGACGCGCAGCACGCCGAACTGCTGACTGGCCGGGTTGAAGTACTCCGCGAAGCTGAAGTGGAAGCGCGACTCCAGCCACCACGTGGGACGGGACACGTACAGCGAGCTGCTCGGAATCTTCCTCATGAATTCCTTCACCCTGAGAGCAAAAACACGGCGTTTTATGAGAATGCCTGCGCACAAGCGAAGGTCGGAAATCCTACAATGCAACGCTAATGACGAAGAGGAAGGTTAAGGAACTAGGGTCCATTGGACGACGAACTGATCGCTTACATGACCGTGGAGCTTGACCGAATAGAGCCTTCTCTAGTGTAGGCTGTTGTGCGACGAGACGACGAATCTAACGATAAACTTGGTTTAGCGACGGAATTTACGGGAGATGAAAGAAAATGGGCTGACTTTCGCGGGATTGTTACTCTAAAAGCAGTCTTCGCTTTAACAACTAAAGCAGTGGTGGTTGAACTCGAAAGAGCTTGTGCGGCTGAATGTCTTGTCGATTGCAATAAATACGTCATTTGTGAGCAAGAAGGCTACAGGCAGCGGAATCTCGAGCGAGTAGGAACCAAGTAGAAGGCAAAGGCTTCTTGTGAGCTTCTAACCATGAGGAGCATTCAGCGAAAGCAGGAATTGCAAGCGGTAGATGGATGGAAGCAGAAAATTCGTGATGGCGATCGCGGAGGGGAGGGAAGGCGAGGCGAGGGGCTGGTGAGGAAATGGCCGAAGTGGGTGGAATTCGCCCAACAATTTCTAGGAAATGCGTAGAAGATCGCGAAGAATCTTTCGCCACTACGATTCTCGAGCCTGGCTGCGACGATTACAGCACGCTGCGACAACATTTGAGCACTTCGCTGGCCAGAGCGTGCAAATGACGCTTTCGTTATTGCCTTTCAGCTGCAACGCGTATGAAGGATGATTTTTCACTTCAAAATCCCAAAAGCTCCTTAGAATGATTTAGTAAAAACTCCAAAGTTGAGTCATCGAATTTGCGAGCAAACAAGAAGCAATTTCGTGGCAACCCATCAATGGAACAAAACCCGTTTGATGGCGACTGGAAACAAAGAAACGGAAACAGCACGGACAAATCTCGTTAATTAACATTCAAAGCATGAAAACAGTGCTGCATTGTGAATGCAGAGGAGTGTGATGTGGGAGGAGGCGACGTGAGAGGAAGACTAGGGGAGAGGAGGCGACGGGAGGGTAGGCAACGTGAGGCGGAGGCAGCATGAGGAGAGGCGACATTGGAACTCACCAATTCAGGTTGTGGAAGAGATGGATTTTCGATCTGTGCAGGAAAGAGGAATCAACAACCCTCAGGGTTAGGTACGACAGCAAAATAGACATGACCAGGTCCAACCGACAATCTCATTCAACAGTGCATCCCAGACAAGCAAGTGGGAGAAGTAGGTTTCCAGGCTACCAAAGCCGATTCAACGCATGTAGGAAAAGCGGAATCTTACATAGGAGAAATTGCTCCGAAAATCCTTCCAAAAATTGCGGTAGGAAAGGAATTGCTTGGATGACTGCGCAATCAACCGCATGCCACAAAGGCAGACAGAAAGACATGCAATACCGAGTAAACATAGTCATGGCAGCATTGAGAAAAGTGATGCAAGCTAGTGCGTGGGCATCGAAGAAATGCTGGACAGTGAGGTTTGATCGTGGGTCATACCTTTATACTCGCTATAAGGTCACTGGTGACATTCTCAGCAGCAAAAAGCTTGGGATGCCACTCTGCCAGGCTCCAATCGGCGAAGGTTGTGGGATAGCGGGATATCCCCGAGGGGTCATACAGCTGGACGATAGGCAAAGCAGGGAAAGCGAGTGGGAGAAAGAATGGAAGAGGGCAGGAAAGCAGGAAAGCAGGAGCAGACTGATGCACGACTCTGAGCGTGACGACTGGGAACACCTAGCCCTGTTCCATGTGTCTGTGCTCATAGTCACATGCAGTAGGGCATGATGGTACAATGACAGCTGCATTAAACAATATTCACGAAACTAGTCTATATCCACTCACATGCAGCAGCACTTGGATGTAATGCTCATCGGCGCAGCAGAAGCGGCTGCCAGTCTTCATGCGGAACTGCACACACACACATGTGTGGGAGCAGGGGGCGGGTGAGCTCGTTGAGTTGACTCACGCAGCACTCATGCTACCCGCACTCTAACATTATCCACCTCTCATGAAAATAGAAGGCCGCTCAACCACCCATCACCTTCCCCAACCCACTCGAACAAAGTTTCCTAAATCACCTGACACGGCATTCACCAGGCACAGCATTCACCAGGCACAGCATTCACCAGGCACAGCATTCACCAGGCACAGCATTCACCAGGCACAGCATTCACCAGGCACAGCAATCACCAGGCACAGCATTCACCAGGCACAGCATTCACCAGGCACAGCATTCACTGGCAATGATGCGCACCTGGCAGCTCTTCTGGTGTGTGAGGTAGTGGGCGGTGTCCCTCGTGATCATCTGCACGTGCCTCCTCCGCAGCACAAACCACTGCCACGGCACATGCACCACAGCACGGCACACACATCACGTGAGCACTGTGTCGGGCAATGGCAAATGAGCACCAGCAGCAGAGTGCGAGGCAGAGGTGTTCCCACACTCGTGCAGTGCAAGGCATGCAGCAGAGGGTCACCTGCGTGCAGCTATCGCCCCACCGCCCCGTGCCCCATCTGGCTGCCCCGTGCCCCATCTGGCTGCCCCGTGCCCCATCTGGCTGCCCCGTGCCCCATCTGGCTGCCCCGTGCCCCATCTGGCTGCCCCGTGCCGTGCCCCATCTGGCTGCCCCGTGCCCCACCTGGCTGCCGCCCACGTAGTCGTCCTTGCGGATGAGCGGGCTGAAGATGTGCCTCTCGTAGCGCCGAAACCCCATGCGGTACTTGTTGTGGTGCCTGCACCGCCAGGGGATAACACAAATATACGATGTTTAATATTCAGAAGCACCGTATCTGACTCCCGAAAGCATCTTGAGGACAGGCAAGTGGGAAAAAGTGCCATGCCAAAGATTACGCAGCTATATGAGGAACAAGAAGAGTCGACCAGGAGGAGGCAGAGGGGCGCACTCACGCATCGAGAAGGCTGACGTTGGCAGAGGCAACGTAGCTGTAGATGAAGGTGAAGGGCCACAGGGGGATGCACCTGCCGTGGCACGGCAAGGGGGGAAAGGGGGGGTGGAGAGATGAGTGCAGGCACGACTCTAGATCTGATTGAACCCAAGTGCTGCTCGAATCTGACTACTCCGCATCTAATCCCCTCTGCTCTTCCTTGCTGCCTCTGTGACGAATGCGGGAATTGTTGTGTGGGAGAGGGGCGGAGGGGGCTCACGAGTCGGAGAGGAGCGCGAAGAAGGCGTTGAGGGGGTCGAAGAAGGCGGTTGCGAGCAGCTTCCTCTCCGCCGCCACCATTGAGAAGTCGCCCCATGCCACCTGGCCGCACCCAGGGGACACATGAGGGGAACAAGGACGCGATGGAAGGGGGAGGGAAAGAGCCAGACTTGCTGTGCATCACTGCTTCCCGTTCGAGTGGAACAACACATGTGATTCAATTGATGCCATGCAACGGATGCCACACCATGCACGAACGCTACTATGCGAGTGCAGGTAAAAATAAGAGGTTTGGAGCAGTCCATCATGCCCTGCCTGTCCCCATGCGCCACACCTAGCCCCACCACACTCCACGCTCCACCGCTCTCCACGCCTAGACCCACCGCACTATGCACGAGGGCTCACCTTGCCGCCTGGAATGAGCGCATCTCGGAAGGTGGGGGAGAAGTCAGGCGGGAAGGCGAAGGCGGGGGTGGACGCGTGCACGTACACGGAGTAGCGCCCCTCGTGGCCCTGCTGGGGACAGACGCGCGGGGCAGAGGGAGTGAGACAGTGAGCGGTGTGCGGCCGTGTTCAGAGATCGAGCAAGCTCCATTGACGCTTGTGAATCGCGTAATTCGCACCGATGCGCACCTGGAAGAATCGGTCCCACAGCGGCACGAGGGGGAGCGGGCCACGCGTGAGGAAGAGGAACGCGATCTTCTCCGTCGCACTCGGCTTCACCGTCGGGAATGTCTGATCGCTACCTCTGGCGGAAGCTTCCGACGTGGATTCCTGATCGCTGAGGTCATCGGGGTGAACGGAATCGTCTGAAACGGTGGCGAAGTAATGATTGGTGTAACAAAACGTGGTAACCACAAGTAGGACCAAAACACCGACGAAAGAAGCGATCCTCGTGGAGCGCGCGAATCTGGAAGCCTTCCCTTCCAAGGGACCAGTCGGTGGGCCCTTGGCGGCAGCGCGTCTCAGCATTGTGGGAATGCTAGCGCATGGCGACTATGGAGTAGGGAAATGTCAGGAAAGCATCGTGTCGACGCGGAAGGTACCGTGGCGTCGCTACGGCCTTGGCCGAGACTCGAACACCAACCAGCTGACGGACACGGCACTCACGAGCTTTTGACACAGATAATGCTGTGGGGCCAAATCTAGGCAAATCAGTCCCGAGAGGATGTGCTTTGCATTTGGGGGAAGATGCGAATGTGGTGGAGGGAAGGTGTTATGAATGAACTTGCAGAGTGCGCAGAATAACGAATATCGAGAATGATTGAGTACTGAATTACTGAATGACGATACAATGGAAGTGACGAGGCCTAAATAGGGAAGTCCTAGCAAGGCGGGGAGGTTGGGCGAGGATGGCTCGGTGATGGATGCGATTGGTGCGGAGGCGACTCGGGGGTGGTTCGGTGCGACGAAATAGGAAGGACAGGTTCGTCGCGTGACCCTCGGTATGGCCTCGCTAACGAGTGCCTCAGTAAGGATTCTGTAAATCCCTACACTCTCCCACCTTCTAAATAAGGCAGCCCTGTAGTGAAACAGGCTCCACACTAGCGAGGATTCCGTAGATCTCCTCTTCAGCTGAATCCGACGGCTGAAATGCCTTTGACAATATTTTTGAAAATGTTGGAATGTAGGCCGTTGATGAAGTCCGAATTCGATCTGACGGTCGACGATGAACTAACCCAAATTGAAGTAGAAGTTGGAATGTGGGCCGGTGATCGAGTAAGTGCGAATCTGACGGTCGAGGCAGATGCGATTTTGGAGGGAACAGACTGACGCGAAATTCAATCGCGATCAATATGGAGCCGTCGATCTTGTCGGTGTAATCGCGATCGTCCGTCGTGCTGACGCAACCTGACAAAGGTCAAGAAGAAAGCCGAGAAAACGCCAAGGAAAGAAACAGTGCCGAGCACTTTCTCCCCCCCCCCCCCCCCCCTCCAAGAAAACACACCAGAAAATGTTTCACAGCTGCGCCGAGAGGAAAACCAACAGAATCCAGGTGTTAAGTCCCAAAAAACGAGTGATGAGCGAAGAAGTCCAGGTGAAATTGCGTCGGTGTGGAAACTCGATGACGAAAACCAGGTAAGCCGTGCCCAAAATTCTTCAAGGGCGATCCCGTTGACGTAGACCAGAATCCGTGATGAAAATTTGCCGTTGCACGAACTGTCGACATTTGTCTTTACACCACCGAAACTTTCGGTGGTCCCTTCCGCAGCTGCAGCTGGCAGCAGTTGAAATCGAATCGTTTGTCGTGGGCGGGTCGAGCTGGGCGATTTGTCGCTAGTAGAGTTGGAAGTCCCGTCCCGAAATCCTCTGGCCGTGAAATCGGGGTGTGGCGAAAATGTCGTCGATGCAGTAACCAAAATCAAATAGCACTCCGAAAATGTTGCCGAACGCGATCCAGTATCAGATGATGTCAGCACCTTCAGCGGCTTTGTCCAGACTCGCCGAGAAATTTGTCGTAATGCGCCGAGGGCTCCTGGGCAGAGATGAAAAATTGCAGCTGTCTCTCACACCCCTTCACTGTTGATGCCGCCTTCTTCAGTTCGTCGTAAGTCGTTCGTATCCCTTGAAAGTCCGTGTAGTTCTCGCGGTGTTGACGGGATCGCCCTTGTCGCGCGCGTTTAACCGAACGCCGCAACTCCTCCGAAACTGTCCGCGCTCCTCGCCGTAAAACCAGTAAGTCCCCACGTAAAAACTCCGAAATTGTCGCTCGAATCAAACCCCCGTAAATACGCAGTTACAGTTGCAGTTCTCCTCCGAAAATCTCGGACGTGCTATAGCCGCCCACTCGGTCACCATCAGTTTCCGTTGGTTACCCGACCCCAGCATGTGGGTTCAATCGAGAACCGGGGACTGCCCCTGGGTTATTCCGAGACCGAATTTCACGGAACCTAGTGGCATCAACGCCGTTGACTCCGTTGTCGAAACTGCTCCCGCCGATGTTGCTTAACAAAATACCACGTTTCTCCCACCAGCGCTTTGCAGATGTTTTACCGCATCGCTCGTCGCCAGTCGATAAGGTCCCGAAGCTACGACTGCTCCCACGCTCCCTTTTTTCTGAAGAATTTCCCGAGGTGTGCGTTTAAACACCGGGGGTCCTAGGTCTCCTTGCCGCTGTGTTTCTTGCCGGGCAACTTCGATAAGTGCCCTTCATCCAGAAGTGGCCTAGTCAGTAGAAAGAGGCACTTCCGATAGATGAGGTCCTGGGATCGAACCCACCCCCGTGCAGGCGTGTTCTGCCAGCCCCAAGAAGGGGTTAGCACGTGCTCATCTAGGAATGGATACCCCTTAAACTGGTTACGACCAGAAATATAACTTTAAAAAAAAAAGATAAGTGCCCTTCAGGCGAAGTCCCCCAACGGCTCAACCGCACTCCAAGAAGCGAAGAAATACCCGCAGCTTCATATTTTTTTGTCGTTTCACCCCCCGACAATTCCGCTTCCCGCCGTTCACCCAGCGTCCGCTTTTGTCGGATGGGGTATAGTCGGTGTTGCCCGCGCGAATCCAGCCACGGTGGAGGGGCAAAAACTATCGGAGTCGGGGACCCTTAATTAAAAGGAACAGTCGCCCAGATGGTTCACTTCCGAAGGATGAGGTCCCGGGATCAAATCCCCCCTGCGGCGTGTTCTGCCAGCCCCCCAGAAGGGGGTTACACAGGTGCTCATCTGGGAGTGGATACAACAACCTCGTTACCCAGCGAGGCGTGTAAACAAATGGGTAGGTGGGTTACGACCGACAGCCGGGGTAATACCAAGGGGGTTTCCCCATAACCTTTACCTTTGAAAAAAAAAGGAACACTCGCCCAACCGTTTTGCAGCCCACCGCGACCGTCACGCCACTAAACTCCACAGCATCCCGGTCACAGCTTCGCCGCTGCGCCGTCACCTCGTGTAGACGCCCGGGTCAGGAGAAACCAGCGAACTGCACCATGTTGTCATGCGGCGCCCCGATTTTTTCGCGTGCTGTTTCACCCAGCCCGCTTTTGTCGGAGTAGAACAGTGCCGCACCTCCTCCGAAATTGTCGAACGGGCACCAAACCAGATGCCTTTAACCAGCGCAGGGTAGGCTCGTGTTCACCCCCGTTATTCATCCGAATAAGGTCGACTGCATGAGTCGGAACCAGTAATCGGTGGGGATGGTGAGGTTCGGGCGAAGTAGGGCCGCAGATCGGTTCCACCGGCTTTTATCTGATCCCTACGACGTTCTTCAACCCCCGCTTAGCCGTTGGGCAGTCTCTTTTCGCGTGTCCCGGCGGCCTGCACCACACTCCGAAATTGTCGGGGTAGCACCTTGAACACCGTTTAATCGTGGGCTGCTGCGGCTGTCCCCGAAAACGGCTTCCTTGAACGGGGAAACCGATCTCGAAACTGTCGAACAGCTGGCAAGCAACTCCAGGCACGCAGCAACAAACGAGTATTTTTCGGGTGTTCAGTCCCGATATGCCCTCGTGCCTGCGCCCCACTCCTGCTAAGTGCGATTTAGCCACGTCGTTGTCTGTTGCAGCCCGTAAGTGTCGGCGGGTCCAAAGTTCCCGTCTGTCCACAAGCACTTCTGCCGAAAATCGTCGACGACTCGCCCGCCAGTACGGTAAGCGCCGTACTATCCGGTCGGACGGGATGAAACTCAACCCCCGCTTAATTCGGGCGGCTTGAGCGTCTATCTCTCCCAGCCGTCGGGATCCTCTGACGCAAAACTCCATTTGCGCCTGGCGAGTTCTTCGAGCTGCCCTTTTCTTCACAGTAGAAACCTCCGAAAATCTCGCGCGCACGTTGACGAACAACCACGCCAACTGCCGCAACAGACGACGACTCCGAAATCTTCGTGCAGATGCCGACGCAGGACAGCAGCCACACGAAAATCAACTCCGAAATCGTCGGAACGCAGCGGAAATAACTCACGTTAAATGTCGCGACAGCTGCAGCTGTCCGTTGCCCGGGGGGAGGGAGGCCACGGTCGATCGCGACCGTTCGAGGCAAGGATCTGGCGGTGCCGAAGGAGTACCCGTAAAAACATAGCCGCGAATTCCCGAAGCAGAAAGTGCATGGACCCATCTGCAAGTGCATGGACCAATTTGTAAGCAACAGGCGCAAGCAAACCTCTTGTCGCCTCAAAGTCGTTCAGGGGCTTAATATCCATCGCCATAAAGCACCATGATGTATCCCACAGCAAAGCATGCAAAAGCTTTCCATGAAGCTCTTGCAACACAACCAGCTGGGGGGTGGATTAAATCCCGTTCCAGAACCTTTCATTTCATGATTTATTTACCCCCATCCGTGTGCTTTGAATTTGAATGGGAGCAAGACAGTCTTGTCATGTGTTGAAGAGAAAGTAAAGCATGGGAGGTAAAGCATGTGAGGTCTTGAGTGACCTCGGACATGTCTGCAGGGTGCAACATGTCAGAATTACACTACGGTGCGGTGGTGTAAAGGGCATCACACATTCTGAAAACTTTTGCATAATGGGACACAGCCCAAGCGAACAAAAGCGCTCCCAGGTGAGCTTGAACCACCCACCTTGTGGTTAACAGTCTCACGCTCTAACCAACTGAGCTACGAGAGCACGTATAGCTAGTTCTCATCGCCAAAGTAGTCAACTTCTGGAACCCAAGACATCCTTCCTCGTCCCCCCCCCGAGGGGTATTACACTCTAAAAAGCGGGGTAGGCTAGGAAAGTAGCTCTGATACCAGGTGTTATGAATGAACTTGCAGAGTACGCAGTAAAACGAATAACGAGAATGACTGATTACTGAATTACTGAATGACGATACAATGGAAGTGACGAGGCCTAAATAGGGGAAGTCCTAGCAAGGCGGGGAGGTTGGGCGAGGATGGCTCGGTGATGGATGCGATTGGTGCGGAGGCGACTCGGGGGTGGTTCGGTGCGACGAAATAGGAAGGACAGGTTCGTCGCGTGACCCTCGGGATGGCCTCGCTAACGAGTGCCTCAGTAAGGATCCTGTAAATCCTTACAGAAGGGATCGGTTCGCGCACATGTAACGCGGATATCACAGCAGGGATTACCGTACGTAATCAATGAATCAAATAAGTTGAGCCGCTAGAAGTAATCAATGGGTGCTACGGTATATGCCACATCCCTATTCTGTGCCAGCTTTCCTAGATCACTTCGTGCAAATCCTCCTCCACTTCACTTGTCACTTCAAATTCCGCATCTTCCTCCCTCCACGTCCTCTCCATCTCCACCACTCTCTCCACATCAAATCCCTCGGGCACATTCACCAACCAATCACTCACATGGCTCACCACACGTTCCATCACATCGTTCCTCACACCGTCTCTGCTCGTAAGACCGTCATCATATCCCATCCCATCCATTCCCCACACCTTATCCTTTCCCTCACGTTTGAATCCATCAATTTGCACCTTTCGTTCGACACCGCTATCAGATGAGGCAAGGGAGGAGGCGATCCCGATGCTGAGGCCAGCCATGGAGTAGACGCGCCCGTCCCACTTGCCCTCGTTGCGCACATGCCACGTCTTGAAGCGCGGGTCCAGCTCAGCCCCCTGTACAAGCACCACCACGAGGCCGCAGTGCCGCAGGCCCAGCTCGTCTCTCTCAGCCCACTCCCCGCCATCCATCTCCAACCACCACTCCTCAGCCGCCTCCTCATCATCCACACACCCATCCCTCCACATGTAAGCCCCCTCCTCACTCCGTTCCTTCAACTGCTCGCCCATGCACGTATGTGCTTCATGGTGCTTCAACATGCCGCTGTGCTCCCCATCGGTCACCTCCCCCACTGGCAGCAGCGCCCCTGCCTCGCCCACGCGCACGAGGTCAGGCATGTCACACAGCAGTGCCACCAGCCGGGCCTTCATGGACCACCTGGGGAAGGCACGGCTGCTGTACCCGTGCCTGGCGAGCAGGCTCGGCAGGGAATGCCCTGTGTGCTCCTCTAGCCTGCCTGCTAGCTCCTCCAGCCACATCCACCTGCTGCTGCTGCTGCTGCTGCTGCTGCCGCGTCTAGAGCTGTTGTTTTGAAGGGGTTCAGTGAGAGCAGGGGGGGCATCCCAGTCAGCACCGTGTGTGAGGACGACCCCCATCACCACACGGCGCAGCCCTGACTGCACGAGACTCACCAGCTGCAACGCCCTCTCGCTCACAACCACTGCCAGCCTCTGTTCGCGCTGCACCCAACCCCTCCCAATCGCCGCTGCACCCACAACCCAAGGAGGCGCAGCCCCAGCCTTACCACCACCCAAGTTACCACCCTCACCAGCGCTACCACCCTCACCAGAACCACGTGTGGCCACAACACCAACCCCATTGCCTCCTTTGCTGGTCGTACCTCCCTCCCCTCCCACCGCTCTACCTCCCTCGATGTATGTGTACTCGTTATAATCACGCACCACCGTGGCAATCGGCCCAACCAATGCATCCACATCAACCCGAGCAGGGTCGGGCCGCCACCACCCGCGCTGCACAAACTCCCGAGCCATGCCGCCCAGTGGGAGCGGGCCGCGGGCGGCGAGGAGAGTGAGGGTGCGGAGGGAGAAGCGGAGGAGGGCGAGCTCGAGGGGCGAGCGCACGGCCGACGCGGAGGCAAAGACAGCGGGCCACAGCGGGTCGTGGGATGCTGTGGTGTGGGCAGCACTTGGGGAGTCTTGGGCATGGCAGTGTGGCTTGTGCAGGGCAGTGGGCTGTGCGTGGTGCTGCAACAGCTGACCCACGTCCCCCTGGGCGTGCTCAGAGGCAGCAGGCGGGTGGGGTGGGTGGCGAGGAAGGCGAGCAGGGCGCGGGGCGGAGTGCACGGGTGTGGGGATACCGTCAGCTCGCTGCCCACCGTTGCTGCTGCCCTGCTGCTCATTGTCATTCCCTCCGACCACGGCAAGTGCAGGCACAGCAGCGGTAGGGGCGGCGGTGGCAGGAGCATCATCAGCAGCAGCAGCGGTAGGAGTAGTGAGAGCAGGAGCAGGAGTAAGAGAAAATGCAGGAGTGGGAAGGGGTGCTTCCACAGAAACATCATCAGCTTTGCTCACAGCAGCTGCCTCAGCCTGTGCACCATCATGGGGCACAGCACCTGAAGGGGCACCTGAAAGGGCAGCTGAAGGGGCAGCTGAAGGGGCAGGTGCAGGTGCGGGGGCAGGTGCAGCATCCCCAGGCGCAATGAAAGGCGGGTGAGAGAGCGCATGCACGGTACCATTTATACGAGCATCTCCATCCACCTCCCCCTCGCTCTCATGGCTGTCATATGCCGCATAGTATGCATACTCCTCTTCCTCCTCGCCCTCCTCGCCCTCCTCGCCCTCCTCGCCCTCCTCGCCCTCCTCGCCCTCCTCGCCCTGCCACTCCTCCCACCCTGCCACCACACGGTATCCCTCCACATCGCCACCGCCTGCTGCACCTGCTCTGCACTCGCCAGGCGAGGACGAGGCTCCATGTGCCTGCACCCCCGCTACGCCCGCGCTGCTGCCCTGCCCTTGCCCACTCTCGCCATCCGCCTTCTCGCCCCATTCAATGTGCGTGCTGCCACGCCCACCCACCACGCCACCATCCTCCCTCATGCGTCTCTCACCTGCCACTTGCACCCCGCCCTCCCCCCCCTCCCTGCCCTCCCTGCCCTCCCTGCCCTCCCTGCCCCCCATGGCCCCCCCGCCCTCCCTGCCCTGCCATGAGCGCTCTTCTTCCTCTTCCTCGTACATATCCCCTGTTGCCAGAAACCCATACTCGTCCTCCTCATATTCCTCCTCTTCCTCCTCCTCATCTTCCTCCTCCTCTTCCTCCTCTTCTTCATCCTCTGCCTCCTCCTCTTCCTCCTCCTCGTCACCCTCCTCCTCCTCCTCCTCCTCATCATCTTCCCACCACTCATCTTCTTCCTCCTCTTCCTCATCTTCCTCCTCTTCCTCCCCTTCCTCTCCATCACTCCCCTCCTCACTCCAATCACCCAACATGCCCCGCTCGCCTCCTCTCCTCACAGCCTCCCTTACCACCCACCTCCCAATATCCGCTTCCTCCTCCTCCTCCTCTTCCTCATCGTCCTCGTCCTCGTCCTCCTCGTCGTCATCCCGCTCCCCCTCATCCCAGCCGCCACCCCCCTGCCCACGGCTGTCCTGCCACGAGTACACGCGCCCATCCCACAGCCCCTCGTTCCGCTCGGCCCACTGGGCCACAACAGGGTCGGCCTCAGCGCCCGCCACCAGCCCCACCAGCACCACGCCCCCCGCGCCCCGCAGCTTCTTGAGGCGCACCAGGTCGGGCATGTCTGCCAGCAGTGCCACCAGCCGGGCCTTCTGGGACACGTTGCAGAAGGCGTCTCGCCTGTACCCATGCCGGGTCAGCAGCGCGCCGAGCCTCTCCTGGCATACACGCCGCACTGCCACGCCCACCTCCTCCACGGGCATCCACCGGCTCGCCCTCCTGTCACGCGCTCCAATCCCCGTGCCGCCGCTGCCGCCGCTCTTGATAATACTCCCACTGCCATTAGTACCGCTCCTGCCGCTCCCATCCTTGCCATTAGTGCTGCCTTCACTCGACGCCCCGCGGTCCCCAGGGACCTGCTCGCCCATGCCACCCCGCTCTGCGCCCCCCCCATTTCTTCCTGCCACCGCACCAGCACTGCCCCGTGCAGTGCGAGCAGCAGCATAGGCGGCATCCGCGCGGGCCACGTGCGCCTGCAGCACGGCCACCACCACGCACCGCAGCCGTGACTGCACCAGCGCCAGCGCGCGCAGGTTGCCGTGCGAGCGCACAAGGGAGAATGTCCGGCGGCGTGCCATGGCCTCGCGCGCCTCAACGCTCAACTTCTTGCGCGCCGCCTGCCCCGGCCACCCCTCGCTCACGGCCATGACGTGCGGCAGCAGCGCGACGAGCGCCTTGACGTCGCGCAGCCCGTAGTCCGCCAGGCGCAGCTGCCGCCCCCACACGCGCTGGTAAGCCACGAACAGCAATGACGTCGTCACCGCGCCGTGGGCCGCCAGCGTGGTGAGCATGTGGGCGCGCAGGCGCGCTGTCAGCACGTCCGCAGGGGAGCGCACGGACAGGGCGCGCGCCATCACCTCCGCCCACGACTCCCGCCGCGGGGCCCCCCCTGCCTCCGCATGGGACGGCGCTGCCTCACCTGCCTTGAGCTCCGGCGGCGGTGGAGGTTGGGCGTTGCTTGCAGGGGTCATGTTTCACCCGCGTCACCTGCTGTTTCACCCGCCCCATCACACGCGCCACTACTGCTGGTCGTGCTGTCCCCCCCGCCACTCGCCGCGCCCCTCTCCACGTGCAGCAGTCGCTCCTCCAGCGATCGCAGCCGCTGCTGCACCTCCTCCTCGCCCTCCCTCCCACTCCCTATCGTCTCTGTCCCCTCCCTGCCTGACGTCCCACCAGCACCGGTGCTGCTGCTGCTGCTGCCACTGCTAAGGGCACTGCCATTGGCGCTGCCGTTGCCGTTGCCGTGGCCGTTGAGGCTGCCGTTGTCCGAGGTGGAGACCCCAGCACTACTTGTGCTGCCGCTGCTGTCCATGCCACTGCGGATGGCACTAAACGACTCTACTGCACTGCTGCCACTGCCCTTCACACCACCAGCGCTGCTGCTGCTACCAAAGATGCTGCTACCGCGTGCAACAGCAGCAGCAACACCCCCATTCCCCGCATCAGTAACACCACCATCATCGCCTGCTCTGCTGCCGCCCCTCCACCCGCTCTCCCCGCCTGCACCGCTCTCTCCCGCGAGAATGAGCTGGTCCCAGTCAAGAGTGACGGCCGCTGACTGCGCCAGGGGCGCGGGGATGGTGCCGCGCTTGCCCTTGCTGCCGTTCTTGCGCGGGCGCGCGAGCAGCACGGTGGTGACGGCGCGGTTGGTGAGCTTCGCCAGCACGCCCGCGAACCCCACGTCGCCCGACACCACCACCACGCACGGCGGGACGGCTCTGCGGGGCGGCAGGCGCGGGAGGGAGGTGTACGAATGCAAGAGAACGGGCAGGAAGGAAGGGCGAGGAGAGGGATGCAGGCGTGAATAAAGGGAGAGAGGATTGTTCAATGCGCTGCACCGTGCTGCACTCATCTCTACCCACTTCCTCCGCTCATCCGTCGCTACCTCCCCCTCGTCATCCGCCTCGCCTCACCGGTTGACCTCGCGCTCGTCGAGAGCGAAGAGCAGCGCGTCGGTGATGATGGCCTTGTCCGCCATCTCTTTGCCCGCCGCCACCGCCACCACCTCCACGCCGCACGCGCCCATCTTTCCCACCATGCGCGCATGCACCTCCTCCGGCTTCCCGTACGCGCGCACGCTCCGCACCACGCCGAACGTGCGCGCCACGTCGCGCAGGCGCCGCACGAGCGCAGCGCAGTCGGCGCCGACAGGCACGGGGCAGTTCTCGTAGTCCCAGAACACGCCCACGCCGGGCGGGCATGTCGCTAACCCCGATTGTGTTTGAAACGAATGTGACGGTAACGGGGGGGTGTGAGGGTAAGGTGTTGGAGTGGGGAACGGAGGCGGGTAGGAGAGAGGAGGTGGGAAGGAAGGTTGTTGGTGGCGGTAGGGGGGTTGCTGGTAAGGCGGATATGAAGACCCGCCGTTTTGAGAGAAAGAGGCGGATGCTCTGGAGGAGGATGAGTGTGGGTTGTGGGGAACGCAGGAGGCGGACTCAAAGAGCAGGCGTGGTTGCAGCGACGGGTGGCTGGGGGAGGGAAAGAGTGTGGAGGAGAAGAGGGTTTTGTGGGGGGAGAGGAAAGCCTGGCGAGATGTGAGTAGCTCGCGGTACATGCGGTCAGTGAGGCGCGCCGACGGCTGTAGACTCAGCCTGAGACTGTGATGGGTTGAGAGCGGTGCAGCAGCCAGGGTGGTTGGGTAGTGGAGCCGGGTGGAGGTCACCAGAGCTGATCGGCTTGAAGAATGGCTGCTTCTGGCCGTGACTAACACTGAGGGAGATGAATCTGAGAATTCCGTTATATACATTACCTGCTTATTGGTGTTACGGATTCCCAAGCATAAGGAATCCGCATTCTTCCGAGGTCGAGGTCCTGAAGAAACAGTGTCGTGGTTACGGCGGCATGATCGATTCACTACCCGCGCTGGTGGAGGTCGAAGGCTTGCGTGAGTGAAAGAAGTTGCGTTCGCCATCATGACCGGCGAACGCGCTGTGAAAGCGGCTGTCGAAAAGGTGATGTCTGTAACCAACATGCATCAGAAAGGCTTCGCACGGGCTGATTTCGCGAGATTTCAACGCTTATCTCGAATTGATTGGCTGGTTCCTGGCCAATCGTCCTCTGGCCATCGATTGCGTCGACTATCCTATGCTGGAACTACTAGTAAGACCGGATTCAGGTGGAAGTACAAAGAATGTCACGCCGATAGCTACTCTACCACGGCTGATATATTGCTGATGAGACAGATGAAATGCTGAGAAAAGCTGCAATGCAGGAAAAATGGTCTGGTCTGGTGATCATGTGGCGTTGGTTGAGAGATATTTGGTGCAGGTGTTTGCACGCGCTGCAACCAGCACAGCGCCCACCCCGCGCGCTGACATGTCAGCTGCTCTGCACTTTTTCTGGGGAAAAGATGTGCTTTCGCGAGGAAATCCTGCGACGAAGATGTGTAACCAGAGATTGCGAATTGAGTTATTTTCGGCCCAAACTGAGTTTCAGCGCAGCTTGGTTGAGAGAATTACTGTAGAACCTGGATCGGTGATTCAGCCTTACTCGCGTGGCCTTGAATTACTCGAGTGGCCACCAAATTTGGTGATAATTACTCGAGTGGCCACGCCAGGGGATTCCCGCTGGTTTTTCTTTTACCCGGCGCATTACCCTACAAGGGTTTGTATCCCTGAAACATCCATTATAAATTATCGCGTAAACTGAAAATCGCGCAATTATCAATGCAGAGGTTTCGGGGATACGAACCCTTGTAGGGTAATGCGCCGGGAAAAAAATCCAGCGGGAATCCCCTGGCGTGGCCACTCGAGTAATTATCACCAAATTTGGTGGCCACTCGAGTAATTCGAGGCCACGCGAGTAAGAATGAATCACCGAACCAGGTTCTACAGTAATTCTCTCAGCTTGGTTCGTTTTTCTGAGGCACCTCGAGACTCTCCAGCCACAAATGTGCTGCCACATGGATCTGGGTTACACCATGTCCCTGGCGCCTGTTCTCCGCCACCTCCCGTCCGTGCATGCACTGTCAGACACTAGACCAGAGCGATTAGGGTGAATGTATAAGCCTCCAGTCCAGAGTGCATAATCGAGTTCATCAGTGAACGGAGCTGACTGATCAAAGACGACTTAGACTGGGGCAGTCGTGTTAGATTTGAGCCTGATCCTTCATAGTCTGCAGCAAAATGGCGGCGACGAGGTGTCTCGTCGAGAGCACTAGTTTGATAGATCATCATGTGCCCGTTGATATGCAATCGGGGCGTTCAGGGATGGCTGCAGCTGCTCCTCCCTCCATATTTATCCATAAGTTCCGCAAGGCCCCCGTTCCAGTGAGAAATGTGACCGTTAGCACCCGTTGCGTCGGCATTTCGTGCACGGCATTGAGATCACCCCGCAATACTCACAGACGATTTCATAATGACGGCCGTCGTTGCGGTCATGCTCGACCTAATACGCGAACAGCCGTGTATGATCCTTCGAAAGATCTCAGCTTTAGCCTTCAAGACGAATTGAACGGTAAGTTATGTGATCCGTCCCGTTGTTTCATTTCGTTCGTCTAGGTTTTATCGCTTTCCCAGTGGCTTCCACCTTCCTCTTAACCTTCCTCGTTTCCTCATCGCCTCTCAGATCCCGAGTCCAACATCACGCCACCCCCACCCCCAACGGAGGGTCGGTTCGAGATTCACGTGTCCAAGGAAATGATTCGCAGCCTTGATCTCACCGTCGCACACCAGGTCCTGCGACCGTTCGTCGCACAAATAGGCGACAACACGGCCCCTCCCCTCTCCGACCCATCGCCTCTCCTCACTCGCCGGCTGGGCTTCACCATAAAATACGAAAGAGACGACCCCATTGACCCTCGGGAACTGTCCGAGCTGCCAGATGTCCGCCTGTGGTTTGTCCGCCTGGATGCCGCCTACCCGTGGTTGCCAGCGGTGCTGGACTGGCGAGCGGGAGAGCTGGGGCGGTATGCTGCAATGTTGGTGCCGCATCAGGTGAGAATCATGCCACACCCCATCAGAGCCAATTCTGGCACTGGTGCTTGTTGAAGTCCTTGGGCCATAGGATGCTAACATGTCCTTTCCCCATGCTCTCGTCCCTGACTCTCCTACCACATCTTTCTACTCTCCCTCCTCTCCCAACTTGCCTGTCTCCACCAGATGAGCAAGCGCATGGGTCTGGTGTTCAATCCAGAGGCAGTGGAGCTATGGACCATGAACAAAGCCTTCATCATCCATGCATGGCTGGTTGCCAGAGGGGATCCCCGGCCTGACGTCAGGGTCAAGGACATGGCCAAGTGTCTTGGTTTCTCCCTCTCAGATTCCCTGTTCAGCCTGCTAAATAATAGCCCTAAAGTGTAAGCCTGGTACCAACTTATTATCTGGCACATTCTGTTTTTGGGGCCCTACTCCATTCTTTTCAAATGTGGGGCAGAACAATCAAAAGACTGAATGCCACAGACTTGACCGCACTATGTAGAAGCATGAGGCACTAGTCGAGTTTATGCGCCTGATGGGAAGCACCCTATCAGGGTTAATTCTGGCAAGAAACATCACACAGCTCCTAATCTTGATGTGAATGCTTTTGGTCTCTGAGCAACCCAAGCAAATGAAATGGGTACAGTGCTCCAGCAGCAACACCATACAGTGCAGAAGTGATGGCCTCCTGTGGACCCAAAACCACTCCATGCATGAAGCCAATCAACCCACTCCCAAGGCCGAGAGGCACAGCCATCAGGAGGGCGAGAATGGCAGGAAGGAAGACAGAAGGACTGCTCAGATTCCGCACGTTGAAAAGCGACCTGTGGCTCGCTCGCTGATTTCTCTGGCCTGCGTTGACCTTTTCTTTCTGCTTCTCCAGCTGTTCCCCCTTTATCCCCTCTTGGGGTTTTTGCTGCTGCCCCTTCTCTTCTCCCATTTCTCCCTTGCCCGACTTCTTGTCAACCCCTTCTCCCTCCCCTGCACGCTCCTGCTGCTCTTTCTCCTCTTGCTCTTCCTCTGGGTGCTCTGGCAAGCTCGGGAGCCTCTTGCTTTGTGTTGCCTCCTCATTGGCTGCTCGCAGACCAGCCACTGGCGAGTGGTTTCTCCAGTCAGGACCGAATGCTGCAGCCATGTGGTTGTGGTACCACTGGGTGCTGGCGTGATTGGGGAAAAGTAGTAAAGGAGAGGTAGAGGGTTAAGAAGGACTTAAAGCAAAGGAGTGCCTGTATGGCTTGCACCTGCATTTCTTGTCATAAGTTCAGCACTTCCGAAATGCTATTTAAAACATGTCAGAGCTTGCATTTCAAGAAAACAGTTAATCCTTCCATGTATTATTCACATAATGCCAGTGCCTCTGTAACACTCACATTAGCACCTGGGTTAGAGGTAAAGAATGAAGTTCATACCCGCGTCACCACTAAGAAGCCATGTCAGTACCAGAGTTTGTGTGTCAATTACGTCAGTGTAGATGTGTTCAGAGTGAACGGAACATACCTATCAGTACCCGCTTTCATAGCACAGGTGATTTTAAGGCCAAGGCGAATAGATATGTCAGTCAATCCATGTTTTTGTAAGAAAATGCGTCACTGCCTAAAAAGGTGATCACAACTCATGTGAATAGATGCGATTCTGATAATCTATTACGTGAATGCCTGCATTTGCGGTACGGAGGTACTTACTTACACTCTTGGAAGGGGCAAAGTCAAAGACCTGTTTGATTTGCACAAATCGGACCTGTGTAGATCGTGTAACACGCCATCAGGACTTGTGCTACTGCTATGCGGTTTTTTTCAGAACTTGCATGCGTACTGAAGTTTATGGTGAGGAACCATGCCATAACCTGATCTATGGTAGCGCAATATGTCGACACCTGGGTTAGCAGTAAGATCAACTTGCTGATAGTTGCGTACATAATAACCAAGTCACTGCCTGCGTTTGTGTTAAAAATTGATACATAAGGTTGCCCATCATCAATCATTCCTGCATTCGGTATGAGATCATGTCAGAATCTGCGTCAGTGGGTAAGTTTGTGTCCATACCTGCGTTTGTGGTACGAGATCATCGCCACTATTGGAACGGCGTAGGCAAGGAAAGCGAACATGACCTCCACCTCCGACATGACCGCTACGGAGCCACGAGGCAGATCCTCAGAAGCCATGGTCGCGCCAACGGCTATAGGCTCAGAGAGTGAAAACGGAGCAGCTGGTACAGTCAGAGAAAAAGGGAATGGAAGATTCCTAACCCGACTAACCAGGTAGATCCGAGACGGACGTCGGAACTATGGCCTGCCACAATATTCCGATTTTCATGGAAAACGGAATGTCATAAGAAGACTGGAATTCGAGTCGAGGAGAAGGCGTAAATGCGACTTCGAGGTGCGAAGGCAGAGGAAAGAAATCGACGGAAGCAGAAGCAAAGCACCGAGGAGCTCACGGATGAACGAAGGTGGTGGATTGTGAAGCTTGTGGTGTTGAGACAAGTCAACTTCCTGCTCGTTGTGGGAGCTTCATTCGCTTTATTGCCTCAATCTGTTGCCAGACCGGAAGCAACGCACACTGTAGGTGCAAGAAACATTTCACAATCCGACTATTATACATATCGCTCTAGCATGTATGCACACTCTTGTTTCAACAGAAAAACACAAACATCTTGTAGATATCGATAATGGCTGGAGCAGTCCCCACGTATATATTAAGTAGCAGCAGTTGGAGCAGCCGCCGCTGTAGGAGCAGCCGAGACTGCAAAGCTACGTGGGTTGATAGTGATGCTCTTGGTGCAGTTGTGTGTCTTGTATATCCCAACGAGATAGTCCGCCAGCTCAAACATGTTGTTGCACAGGCTGTGCAACAGGGAACAGACACGTCAAACAGCATTGAGAAAGATAGTGATACCATGAAAACAAAACTAAGCAATAGGAAAGTCCTTCATAAATGCACAGGCTTATGGTAGGAAGGAACCCAAAGAGGAGCGCAAGGGGGTACAATGTGTGCATCTTACCTGATGATGACGAACTGGGCGTTCTTAGTGCGCTCCTTGATGTAATGCGCCACTATGGACACGTTTTTGAAGTCTGCAGGGCACAGACAAAGAGTCACACACAGAGCAGCACAGGGACATGCTCTCATGCCCAACCATGAAGGTGCATTGCAAGAAGCATCACAGGAAGCAGTATCGCATTGTCGGGGTTCACCATGCTCTTTGCCCTTTCCCATTTTCTTGTGCTATGTGCTTCCAAGTATTCCCCCGTTCTCTCACTGCACACCCAAGCCAGCACTCACGGCTCGTGTGGGACTCACCGAGAGCGGCGTCGATCTCATCCATGACGTAGAGGGGCGTGGGCTTGTAGTGGTGCAGCGCGAACACCAGCGCCAGCGAGCTCAGTGTCTGCAGCAGCGGGACCAACACAGCAGGACGGCGAGGGGTTGGGCAGTTTAATAAGTCGCTAATGCCATGGCACTGCAGCACTGTAAAGCAGAAGTGCATCAGCACAGGACGATGCCTGATGCCTTGCCAGAAGCATTAACACCCCGTAACAGGGAAGCAGGCAGCGGCTTACCTTCTCCCCACCCGAGAGGTTGCAGATGTTCTTCCAGCTCTTCTTGGGCGGGCGCACGGAGAACACAATGCCCTCGCTGAACGGGTCCAGTGAGTCCACCAGCTCCAGCTCAGCATCGCCGCCCAGCGTGATCATCTGGTACATCTCCTTGAGCCGCATCGTGATCGTGTCAAACCCCGCCATGAACTCGTCCAGCCGCCGCCGCTTCACCTCCTCCTGTGCCACCCGCACGCTGTCGCGCTCCGCTGTCACCGCCTCCAGCTCGCCCAGCCTCTGTGAATACACCGCCTCCTTCTTGCGGTACCTGCACACGCACCCATGGCGATGGTTCAGGGTAGATGGAGGTTGTCGAATTTAGATAGGCGGTCGTTGACAGTCACCTGTTTTGCTAACAGGGAAATGATGAAAGCACACAGATGTGCGTAGTGTCAAACTATAAGTGTTATAGTTTGTTATTTTAGTCTAGGGTACGTGTTTATAGTTTAACACCTAGCCACACTGAAGCTCCCAGTACTGCTCACACTCACTCTTTGCTGCTCAGATACACGCTCCTGTAGCTCACATACTTTCATAGAGCAGAGGGACCGACTGGCAGCAGGCAGCGCACTCACTCTGCGATGGAGCTCAGGTTGAGGTTCCCCTTGAGTGCCTCCAGCTCTGCTCGCAGCCGCTGCTCCCCTGCTGCTGCCTCCTCCCGACTCGTAACCACACGCACAAGGTACCACACAAGCGGGCCTGCAGCTTCTCCAGCTCACCATCCCCCCCATCTGCCACCCCCACCTCACCCACACCTCCCTCCCTGTGCTCTGCAGCTTCATCGCCCTCCATCTCCTCATCCTCCCCTTGGCTTCCTCTTTCTGCTGCGCCTGCTGCTGCCGGTCGTGCCCTGCCCTGCCTCTCCCCTTCCTCCTCCCGCAGGTCCCACGGCAGCCCAGCAGCCTCCGCGTCCTCCTCTGCAATGCCCTCCGCTTGCATCCTGGAGGGGGGACGGACGGATGGCGGGCACAGGAGGGAGATGAGGGCCTCGAACAGAAGGGGCTTTGGGATCGTGTGAAGGCTCACTAGTGTGTGCTGTGAGGGCAACTGCAGCATGCAGCGGTGTGATGGACTCACTGTGCGATGTGCTGCCTCAGCTGCGCGCCCAGCGCCCTCAGCTTCTCCCTCTGCAGGCGAGCCGTCTCCTGACTCGTCCTCAGCGCCTTCCTCGCATCTTCCAGCTTCAATTCCACATCCACCTGAGGGCACGAGAAGTGATGTCAGTGGACGTGGAGAAGAAGGGATCCTAGAAAAAGGTAATGCTCGATATGTGTACTCCCCTCGAGCTCGACCCGTCCCACCACCTGTCTTTCATCTCACCTCCCCGGTGCGCATCTCACCTCCCCGGTGCGCATCTTGTCGAGCTGTGCCTTGATGGCCAGGAACTCCTTCTTCATGCCGCCATACTCCTCCTTCTTGCCCTCCACCAACTGCAACCACCACACGCCATGTCATGTCAGCACAGGGAAACGAGGAAAGGGTGGAAACAGATTAATCAGAGAGGGGAAGAGAGAGGGAAGAGCGGGGGTGAGGGGATGAAGGACTTTGTAACAGAACTCTGATCGCATCCTGCAAGTGGGCATTCACACCACTCCCCCCCGCGCACCTGGCGGAGGCGCTCGTAGTTGTCGTTGACAGCAAAGGCCTCCTGCATGACGGCGTTCATCTCCTCCTTCTTCCGTGTCATCTCCTCCTCCGCCTTCGCCCTCTCCTCCTCCGCCTCCCCCACCGCCTTCCTCAGCTTCTCCAGGTTGCGGCTGCTCGAGGCCACCGTCACACGGCTCTGGTTGATGCCCGTCTGCGCCTCGTCTATGGCCTGTAACGAGGCACATTGCAGAGGAATAGCGAGTGGACAGGAATTATCTGTGTGCACTGAGGCTAAGCACAACTGAGGGATGTATAGAATGGGTGATCCGCGCTTGCAATCAAGCCCTGGCACACGTGGACTACTTCCCCTCGTTGTTGCGAGTCCTTCACTCCCAGCTGCTCATTCCCTTTCCACACCCAGCACTCAATACAAGCTGTTCGAACCTAAATCCACACGTCTCCACGCCCTACGCCGCACCTTCTGGATGGCGGCCACGTGGTCCTTCTGCTCGCCCAGCGCCTCCCTGCCGGCATCAGTGATGGCCTGCTGCACGCGCGCCACCGCCGCCACCAGCGGCGCCATTTCCTCCTGAATGCGCGCCTCGTCGCCCTCCTCGCCCGCCAGCTGCTGCTGCAACACGCCCATCTGCCTCTCCTCCTCCGCGCTCGTCACGGCCGCCGCCTGCAGCCCCTGCACGCGCTGCTGCAGCTCGCCCACCTGCGCTGCCAGGGACTCGATCTGCCCGGGACGGGAGAGAGAAAGAGGGAGAGAGTTAGATGCGTGAGACGCGTGAACTGTGAGGGGTGCAACGTCCAAGAGCATTAAAGGGAGACGGGGTCTAACACAAGCGGTTACCTCCATCTGGACCTTGGGAATGTCCATTCCCAGCCGCCTCAACACCCTCTCCGCCTCCTCTCTCCTAGCCACAGCCGCGCGCCTCTCCTCCCGCGCTCGCTCCAGCCGCGCCACCACGTGCGCCACCTCTCTCTCCGCCTCCTCCACCATCTCCCTCGTCACTCCCCCGCCTGCCGCTGCCGCCGCCGCCTTGAGCGAGCTGCCCATGCGGCCGCCGCGGGGGCGCCCCCCCCCGCCTGCCATGGTGCCGCTGGACTCGAACATCTCCCCCGCCAGCGTCACCACCCGCCTGAACCGCGCGTCCGCGCCGTACGCGATGCGCGAGGCCTGGTCCAGGGAGGCCGCGACGAGCGTGTTGCGCAGGGCGAACCAGAAGGCGGGCAGCAGGCGCGCGTCCTGCACTTGCACCAGGTCGAACAGCCGCGGCACGCCCTCCGGCGTGCTCACCTTCTCTGACATGTCCCGCACCAGGTGCTGCTGCTTGTCCTGGCGCTCGGCGGAGAAGGGGGGGAGGGGGGTGGGGGGGGAATTATGGAGAAGAATGCAGGATGGAAAATAAGTGAGAAAACGACTGTGCGGAAGTGGGATGGAGGGCGAGCAGAAATGTTGCAGTGGCATAAAACAAAGGAGAGAGCTCAGAAAGTGGGGCAAGTGCAAAGCTCAAAGGACGGGAAGGGAACGAGCAAGGAAGCAGCAAGGCGCAAAGGAGTGTACCAGGGCGAGGAAGGTCTGCACGCCCAGCTGCCGCTCCCTCAGCAGCGCCGTGCACGCCTGTGCGGTCTCGATGTTGTCCACCACTATGTACTCCAGTGCACCGCACGCCGTTGATATCGCCACGTCGTACTTGCCTGCAGGGGGGCAGGCCATGCCACACGTGAACGTGAAGGAAGGTGGGAGGTGTTGAGAGACCAGCTCAGCTCTGCACGCAACAACCTACTCCAGCATGACAAATGCTCTTGATGTCACTGCATCGTACCTTCACTCTCCCACTTCTCCCCCCCTGCAAGCGCCTCACCATCGATGGCGCCCAGGTCGCCCAGGCGGCCGAAGATCCCGGGAATGCTGCCGTCCCGCTTCGCATGCAGCAGCGCCGTCAGGATGGCGCTGCTGCTGCGCTGCGCAGCGGCCGCCTCCTTCATCTCCGCCGCGCGTCCCTGCGCCGCCTCCGCCTCTGCGCGCGCCGCTGCCTCCTCCTCCGCCTTCGTCTCTTCCTCCTTGGCGCTAGCAGCCGCCACCGCCTCGCTCTCCCTCACAGCCGCCTCCATGCGCTTCAGCTGCTCCTGCTTCTGCTTCCGCCCCTCCTCGCGCTCCTCTATCGCCTTCCGCACCGCCTCCAGCTGCTTCTCGGCGGCCGCGTGCTTGTCTCGGATGAGGCTCAGCTTGGTGCGGGTGACGTCAGCCTTGGCCTTGGCGGCGCTCGCCTTCTCCTCCCACGGCGCCAGCTGCTCCTGCAGCGGGCCCAGCTGCTGCTGCTGCCGCTCCACCTCCACTGCCACACACATCACCAAAATAAGTTCAGACAGGTGGCTGTTAGTCACAGGGGCTGCAGGGGGAAGGGAGAGGAGGAAGGTTGAACGCGGGTCATAGCACGCACCTCGGACGTGCTCCTGGATGCTCTCCAGCTTCTTCTCCGCCTCTGCCAGCCGCGGTGCCAGCGCGGCTGCCTTCTTTTCCAGCTCGGGGATGGCCGTTTCCGCCGCCGCTGCTGCCTTCTCCACCTCCTCCGCCTTGGCTGTGTCCTGTTGAGTTCAACACGGAAACGGCTGTATGAGAGAGGAGGCGAGAGGCTGACGCGAGAATCAGCAAAAGTCTGAAATAACTAGCACCCGTGTCGCGAAATGGCATTCCAGGCCACAATTTCCGATCGCAGCGGTATCTGCATTGAGGCGCGAGTCCTCACCTTGGCGATCTTATCGGCGAGCTTCTTGAGGCGCGCCTTGCAGTGTTTGAGGTCTTCGCGCATCTTCACGTCCTTGCGCTCGTACTCCTTGAAGTCCGCCCGAGCCGCCTCCAGCTCCCCGCACAGCGCCTGCCACGCCCAGCCGTGCAGTGAAAATCATGAAGCCAGTACTGGCACAAGGTGACCAACGCATAGCGTCACTTGCCACGAAACGGATACCCGTTCAGTAAAACGATTCAGGCAAAACGTCTCAGCTGTTCCTTCTCGTTCAACCCTTACCCACGATACCCTTCTCGTTCCATCGCCCCTTACCCACAATACCCTTCTCGTTCAACCCTTACCCACGATACCCTTCTCGTTCTATCGCCCCTTACCCACGATACCCTTCTCGTTCCATCGCCCCTTAGCCACGATGCCTCGTGGATCCTACTACACACAGCCGTTCCACCTGTCGCGAATCACCCTTCTCTTCCGCCGTCCCTCCCCATGACTCACCTCATACTCCGTGTTGCACTTCTCGCACGCGTCTGTCTTCACCTGCAGCTCCTCCCGCAGCCCTGCGCACTTCTCCCTGCACGCACGGACAGAGATAGAAGCACATCAGTCCCGGTAAACGCACGTAAAAAATCTCACCCTTCTCTCCTGCCTATCCCTCCCACTCCCCTTCCCTCCTCTCCACGCTGGCCGTCTGACCTTCACCCCTCTGCGTTTTCTCCGACTATTCCCACTGTATACCTCCTTCCTCGCGCAGCTCTCCCCCTATCGCCCCCCCCCACACTCACTTCTCCGCCGTCAGCGTGCCCTCCAGCTCCGCCACCTTGGCGCCCAGCGCGCCCGCCTTGCCCTGCGACTCTCTCAGCGCCAGCGCGCGCCCCACCATGCCCCACTGCGCGCACTGCGCCTCCTTCACCATGTACGCCTCCGCCGCCCGCTTCGCCTCCTGCCGCACCGCGCGCGGAAAGGGGGTTCGGGAGGGAGGGGTCAGGCAGGGAGGGAGCAGACGGGTGGCAGCGCGTGAGGGGAACGCAGGTTGAGGACACAATGCAGGAAGGGAATGCGCGACAGCACCTTCAACCAACAAATTGGCAGCAAAGACAAGTTCATGTTCCTCCCTCTCTTTCCCCCACAGCAGCCACTGCGCACTCCCTCAAATCTCCCCACAGCATCCACCGCGCACTCCCTCTAATCTCCTCACAGCAGCCACTGCGCCCTCCCTCTAATCTCCCCACAGCAGCCACTGCGCACTCCCTCTAATCTCCCCACAGCAGCCACTGCGCACTCCCTCTAATCTCCCCACAGCAGCCACCCACTGACCTCCAGCGTGTCCTTGTCCTTCTCCGCGTGCTTCACTCGCTCCACCAGCCCCACGCGCCGCTCGTTCAGCTCCTCCAGCCTGCACACGCCAACCCACCCGCACCACACGCACGAGTCAACATCCGTCGGCGCATTGCCACTGCCAAACCGCACGATTCTCCATTACACCGCTCAAGAACGACCAACCGGACAACGGAGCATGAGGGGTAGGGAGGCAGAAAGGCAGGCGGGAAGCTCACTGTTTGGCGCCGGCGTCGATCTGGTCGATGTACTGGTTGGAGCCGATGATGTCCTCCAGGTACTCCAGCAGCCCCTCGTCGTGCGGGCCCTGCGCCTTGGGCTTCATCATCGCGATCTGCTCCACCTCGCCCTGCGCGCGTAGCAGTCGCATGCGAGATACGAGCAATGGGAATGAACGCACTTACCAGCGATGAGGCAGCATAGGAACGAGCGCGGGAACAGGAATGGCAACACAATACCGAAATGGAACGCTAGCAGTCACTGGGCAGTGCAAGAGTGCTACAGAAGGCACGAATCCAGTCGCGCGTCTCACACTGCCTTTAGAGCGCGCCAGGGAACGGCCTAGCCACAACGGCATTACTAGCTTGGCAGCGGCGCGCACCTGCAGGATGAGGAAGCGGTTGTTGTCGAGGTCCACCCCCTTGGCCTTGAGCAGCCTCGTCACCTCCGTGAACGTGCTCGCGTGGTCGTCCACGTGGTACTTGGACGTGTTGTTGCGGTACGCCGTACGCGATATAACGAACTCCGATCCTGGCACAGACTCGTACTTCTCGTCATCCTGAAACGACACGACTACAGCGTCTGAGAATTCCAGCAAGGAATGATGAGAAAACTGTCATGGCAGAATACGAATACGACCGTCGCTCTCATGCATCTCTGCTGCTACAGCCTGGACTTACCAGATCAACAATTTCTTTGAAGTGCACGGATACGCGGGCAGACTCGAGATTCTGATGATCAGTGGAGTTGTGAATCAGCTCCGACACCTTGTTCAGTCGCAGCTGCAAGGCCATGCCATGGAAGTATCCAAACGAGTCAGTTCATGACTCTTACCAAAGGAAAGGGAAATGCCAAACTTTTCAGAAAGCTATCAACGAACTGCACGAAAGGCATTAACACACGCTTGGCATAGTCATTGCAAACAAGGGACTGACTCATCGTCGTTAAACTAAGCAGCACACTGACCTGCTTCGCGCGTTTCCCGAAGACGAAGAGCATGGCGTCGATCACGTTGCTCTTGCCGCTGCCGTTGGGGCCGACGACCGACGAGAAGCACTTGTGGAACGGTCCTACGCGCTGCACGCCCGCGTACGACTTGAAGTTCTCGAGGACCATCTCCGTGATGATCAGCCTGCTCTGACCGCCATGCGATGATCGCTCGGCTCCAGATGATGGAGGCGGGCTAGATCCGACGCCTTGGTCGTCGGGAATCCCCATGGTTAGTCGTCAAAATACGAAAGCTCTGAATCCTACTGTCGTCTCACTCTTCAGTTATACAGCAGCGGGAAGCTGCCTACAGATATGGCCTGTCGTGTCTCTATCGAAAATTTACAATAGCTTTCCAAATCGTCGCTGAGGACTAGCTGTCAGGTGTCCAAGATCGAATTCACCGGCGCGGGTCAACAAGGCTGTTGACCTGACATGCGCCACAAGGCAAAACTACGGTACTTTATAAAACAGAATCAAGTGCAACTATACGAATTTAACTAGGGTAACGTCGTGAGGACGACAACTAGCAGGCAAAGCCTTTACAATGACTGAAGAGCCTAAAAAGAAATTACCAGCAGGTACCTGTGGAATCGCGGAGACAATCTACAAACTAGGATTGATTCGCTTTGGAACACGACTTGATAGTTCAGCAGGCGAAGGGAGCGTTGAGGAAGAACCTTGGGAATTGCAGCGCGGAATTCCACCTTGGGGTTGAAGGGCTTGTACACCCACCAAAAGGCTGCTGGGCGATTCCAGTTGGGTGAGCCAATGGGAAGTACACGGCTCCTGCGAGCCAGTCTCGAGGTGTTCAAAATTTCCCGCGCATTTCTGACACTGACAGCGGTTCCCGATAGGAAACTGGCTGTCGCGCTTCATGCTACCTGGCCATGTTCATTTGTTCAAAGATACGGCACAGAATGCTTACAACTCAACTTTTAGACCGAGTGATTGAGGTAGCATATGGAACTTGGCCTGGAAACGTACACAAAATCATCTCTGCATCTGATGATGATTTTTACAATAATCGATGGTGTGTATGTGCATGTGGGTTTGTTCCTTGGTGAGCTGTGCTGAATTTAATAATGAACCTCGTCCCATCTTACCTTCAACCTTCCAAGACACATCTCAACCAAACATACGTACAAGGGGATAAAATTGTCATGCTAAAGGAATCAAAAACAAAACAGAATCAGTATCAAGCACATCCCAAATCTCGTTCAGTAGTGATCTTTCAGCAGCCATCAGCCATCCTTCAGTAGCCACCAGCACCATACCCTCCACCCCCATATCCACCTCCCCTGCCACCACCACCGCCACCACCACCAGGGCAATCACGTGCCCAGTGACCCGACCCCCCACACTTGAAACATGAACCACTCCCGCCCCCTCCCCCACCACCGCCGCCACCGCCGCCACCATAACCACCACCACCCCCACCCCCATAACCACCCCCACCACCTGCGCCCCCACCAGCACCAGCGGCAGGACAGTCTCGCGCCCAGTGACCCGACCCCCCACATTTGAAACACGACCCACCTCCGGCCCCTCCACCACCCCCACCGCCCCTGCCCCCACTGCCACCATCAAAACCCCCTCCCCCACCGTAACCTCCCCCACCCCCACCATAGCCACCACCTCCTCCACCACCACCACCACCACCATAAGCACCGCTGTTATACCCACCGCCGCCAGCACCAGCACCAGCAGCGCCCCCATATCCCCCTCCTCCAGCCGCATACCCCCCACCCGCAGCTCCCCCCCGACCCACCTGCATGCCACCCACGGCAGCAGACAGCCCAGGGGAAGCTGGCACGGGCGCAGTGAGCGGCTCTCCCCGCTGCAGCCTGCCGATGTAATCCAGCAGCACGCGGCTCTCAGCCGCATAGTTGACCGGCTCCGCCTTGACCACGGTGCACTTCACCTTGGCCTCGTCCTGCCACGTCTCCTCGCGCACCTTGAGCTTCACCACCCACTGGCTCCACTGCGCGTTGGCAAACACCTCCCCCGCCCGCAGGTCGTTCTCCTCGCGCCACCTGTTGATCTCCGATGCTGTCGTCTTCAGCATCTCCTCGGAAACTTCCTGGAAGGCGGAGAGCCAGGTCATGCCGGTGTGGTCCTGCAGCTGGAAGCTGAGAATGTAGCGGAAGTCACAGGTGGGCGTGGCACGGCCGCACTTCTCACAGTACCACCCGTCGCCGTTGCTGTCCTGCACCACCTTCTTCTGGCACTGCCGCCCCTCCGCCGTCGTCAGCGGGCACGCGGGGTAGTAGCAGTTATCCGCACGGAAGTACGACACGGTGCCGCGCACAGAGATCCAGTCCACCTTCCCGCCCAGCCCCAGCCCCTCATCCTTAATCGCCGCTATCAGCTTGCGAGGCTCCCTGCCTGTCCCGCCCCCGCCCGCCCCGCCAAACTCGGAGGAGATGACCTGCACGGGCATGGACGCGCCCCCGCCAGACGTGTACCAGGCGGCGAGCTCTTTGGCCTGGGGGATGTCGGGGTTGATGGCGAGCTGCGTGGACGATATGGTGCCCAGCGACTTGCCGCTGAAGTCGCTCACTCGCCCCGCCTTGATTGCCAGCACCGGGTGCTGCCCCGCCTCCACCAGCTCCTGGCCGCGGCAGCGACAGGTGGGGTGTGGATGAGGAAAAGAAGGGGGGAAGGAGAGTAGAATTCATTTCTGGATGGCAACAAGCTCGTGTCACTCCTCTCGCAATACTCAACTCACGCGATCCCCATCCCACACCCCATCAGCCCCTATCATCCTCTCCGCCCCCCAACACACACGCCCTACCAACCCCTATCACCCCTACCACGCGCGCCTGACCTGCAGCTGCTGCCCCTCGGCGCTGCAGAAGCCGCCCCACATGGTGAGCTCCGTCTGCCGCCCGGATTGGTCGCGGATCATGCAGGTGCGCTTCATGGTCTCGGTGCCGTTGCGCCGCATGATGCTCGAGCTCGCGCCCACCGACACCACCACGCCCACCACGTCCGCCACGCTGTTGTTCTCCATGCCCGCCACGTCAGCGATCGTGCGGAAGTCGTACTGGATGGCGCCGATGGCGCCGTCGTCGGGGCAGAGGTCGAGCGTGGAGGACGCGTCGAGCATGATCTCCCAGTCGCTGCGCAGGTGGTTGTACATGCGCTGTGCTGGCTTCAGACTGCCCTTGGACAGCAGATACACCTGCCCCTTCTGCTCCATGGCAGGACGGACAGAGTGAGGGAGGACGGGCGGATAGAGGCGTATAGAGGGAAGAAAGAAAGAGTCAGAAAGAGAGCACGGAGGGGATCACAGAGGGATGTGAGACACGAGACAGGGAAAGCAGGCTTGTGGCTCAACGCAGATGGTAACGCTGATCACTACCAACTGGTTGCCCCGCTGGCGGTTGCGGCACCCAGTCAGCTGGCCCTTCCCCCCGTGCTCTCGCAGCGCGGCGCACCTGGATCTTGTCGAAGAAGCTGTCGACCTCGCGGTTGAAGCACGTGACGCGGATCTCCCCGCCCTCGGCGTCGAGCAGGTCGAAGCTGAACACCTTGCCCTCGCCGCGCGCGTTGTTGTACCGCCGGATGTCGCCCTTGGACGTCACGCGCGCCTTGATCGTCCACTTGCCCAGGTACGGGTTCAGCGAGTCGATCGGCACCACCCGCGCGTGCGCCTCGTTGCGCGCCACGGGCCCGCGCGCGGAGTAAGACGGCGGGGGAGCTGCTCCGCCCCCTCCCCCGTATCCTCCGCCGCCGCCCGCGCCTGGGCCACCTGCGAATCCTCCTCCGTGACTAGCGGCGGGACCTCCACCAGGAGGTCCGGATACCCCAGAATACTGCGACTGCTTCTGCTGCTGCTGCTGCTGCTGCTGACCGAAGCCACCAGCGGCGTACGGGTTGGGCGGGACTGGCTGGGCTGCATTGGACGGATGAGCAGCGCCCGACGGGCCGTGCTGCGCCATGGGACTAGGAGCAGCGTTGGACGGCTGCTGTGGCGGCGGGTGGTGCTGCGGGGGTGGGGCGGCGGAGTTGTTGGTGAGTGTGCTGGCGGGGGTGGACGACGGCTGCTGGCGCGGAGGCGGGGCCTGGCCGTCGGCGGGGAAGGGCTGCGGATCGCCTATGATGGCGGCGTCCGTCTTGACCACCTCCATCTTCAGAATGATCACGATCCTGCATCGACGCACATGCGTAAAACACACGTCAGGAGTCTTGGAAAAGAAAAGGGAAATAAAAACTTGATAACGGAGACTGGTGTACGCCATTGTAATGCTCGTCATCTGCTTTACCATGCCGCCGCTATGCTTTCGCTACATCCACGTCGCGTTCCCGTCTTACTTTTTCCCGTGAACAGTGTTGGTGACGCACTCCGTGAGATTTATAATGGAGCCCTTCTTAACGGAGGTGCGCATGAGCTCGTTCATCTGCGACGCGATCATGGCCCACTGGTGCCATCGCCCGTCCGACAGCATCAGCCGGTATCGCTCCTGCGCGGGTGGCACGGACGCGCTCCCGACCTGCCGCGAGTCGAACACTTGCAATATGAAATTGCCATCTGTCGCACCGGAGTTTAGAATCTCAAGCGCGTTCGGAGTTAACTCCGACGCCATGGCGATGGCGACGGGAAAGGGTACAACCCGATATGTAAGAAGAACGATGAGATGTCAAATCGTCGGCTGTCTGAAGTGCTGCTATGCCGGCTTTACAGTCTGAATCGCTACTGAACTGGATATTCAAATCCTGGGAACGGAGCACGAGGAACTGAATGGCTGTCTGCTGAAACAGGCTTCTTGAAGTTGCCGCACGCCTTGAATCTGTTTCGTCCTGCTGCGGATGTTTGAACTTCCAAAACTCGAAACTGGATCGCTGCTCGGCAAACTGGCGAAGAGCGCAGGCACCCCACCCGTTTTCGCTGAGAGGGATAGTTACTCGCAACGAGAGCTATCGACGGCCCAGATTTACAAACGAAATGGGGCTCATCCTTCACACCAGCTGGCTTGGCGTCACCTTGAAGCAGAGTAAATTATTGCATTAACTTATAAATTTGCGACTAACAGCTGTCACGGATCTGTGGCGCAATGGTAGCGTGTTCGATTCACGTCAGGTTCAAGGCCTGCTTTTTGAAGCCCCTTGGAGTTTCAAGGAACATTGGTTGATTTGAAACTCTCTCTGTAAGGTGAAGTATAGATACTGGTACGTTGGCCTTTATCAGGTCTCTTGATTTTGTTGAGTGTGGTCCAGAAACCATGCGGTATTTCAGTCAACATCCCAGTATCTGTACAGAAAGAATCCCACTCTACATGCGTACAAGTGCGAACATCAAGAAGTGCAATGGAAAAAACGGTGGCACTTGAGTTACCGTCACTGTGGACTGCACTTGTGAAGAGGTAATCAGTATCGTATGCTATCACAACACCAAATCGCCGCTAGTACAATTTTACTCCGCTTCACGTGCATACACAATTACACCGCGCACGCTGCACAAGCCAGCCCGTCTAGAGGGACTCGAGGAGGGCCTTCTCCATGCGGCGGATCTTGGAACGGATGGAGAGGTCGATGTGCTTGTCACCGATGTCCACCAGCACGCCGCCAATGATGCTGCGATCCACCCGCTGCTGCAGCTGCAGCGTCTGCCCCGCCTCCAGCATGCCCGTCAGCGCCTCCCTCACCTCCGCCAGCTCTGCTGGGGTCAGCTCCTGCAAAGAGGGACATGGGTGGGATTGGCAAGTGGAGGGGCGTTAATCAACAATAAAGAAAAGAACGTTTTCCCTGCCTGCAGCATGCCCTCCAGTGCTTCCCCCTTCTCTGCCAGCTCCAGTAAGGTCAGCTCCTGGAGAGGAGGAAAGGGGGTGAGGAGGTGGAGAGAGGGAAGTGCGAAGGAAGGGAGTGCAGACGTGGCAAGGGGAAACAACGCAGCATGACCGGCGAGGGTTTGGGGAGTTAAGGGGAAGAAATGGCATACAAGAAAGCATGCAGTTGACTTCTGACGCCTGCAGCTCACCACCTGGTCAGCACGTGGCCGGTGGAAAAGAGAAAACAGCATCCGATGTGATGGGATGCGACTCACGAGGGCAGCGGTGACGGTGGCCTTGACCTGGCCGCGGTGGGCCATGAGGATGTCCTCGTACGTGGCCGCTATCTTGGGCAGATACGACAGCCGCCCCGCATCCGCCAGCACAGCTGCCCGCACATACACAGGACGGGGCGGTTGCAAGGGAGGCGGGGGAAAGGGGGGTTGGAAATGGGGGGAAGCGAGACGTCAGCTCTGCATGGACTGAGTGGAGGAGAGAGGGGAGAGGGAGGAGGGGGCGGACGGCACCAATAGTGCTGGGCGAAGATAGCATTCGTCACCTTCTCAGTTCGATGCTGTCACACGCCTCGCCCATCACAACCACCGCACGCCCCACCAACTGAGAGCGTTCCTGGTGGTGTGCGAGCTGCTGGCGCGGGAGACATTGACCTCCACAGCCCTCCCCGCTCGTTACCATCACACACCTCGACACAGCAACACCCCACCCACCGCTCTCAACCGCTCACCGAGGAAGTTTTTGGTGATGGGCGAGTACTTGGTCTGCGAGAAGATGTCCTCCACGGCCTTCACGCGCACCTCGCGCGACACCGACGGGTCGCGCAGGAACGACGCGAAGGTGGGGTTGGCGCCCGTGACGGCCGCGAGCTCGCGCATCTCGCGCTCCACCGCGTCCACCTTCCCGCCGCGCACCGCCGACACGTACAGCGCCGACGCGTACTTGCCCGCCACGCCGAACACCGCCGTCGGTACCTGGCGGGGGACGGGGTGTGCGGGGGAGGGGAGGTGTAGGGGGGATGGGGAGGTGAGGGGGAAGAGTGAAGGGGTCGGTTGTTGTCGGTCAGGCGAGAGGAAAAGATGAAGCTGACGCACTGAACGCAGAAGCAACAACCTCTCCTTCCCCCTCTCCCCCCCATTCCTGCATCCCCCACGCCAACGACAAGACAGGCGTCACTCGTACCTTTACATCGACGGGCGCAGCCTCGGCGGCAAAGGATCGAATCGCCTGCAATGCGCATTGGAGAAGAGGTACGAGAAGGAAGCAATGAGACGCGTGAGGGATGGAGGGAGAAGGCGATGGCAGACATGCCATACACGCCGTCGTCAGGAATGCGTTTAGGCTTCGTCAAGCAAGATCCAACGGCGCACAGATGGTCAGGATTCACAGAAAGGACGCGTTGTAAGGAAGATCGGATTGCTGATCCAACACCAGGGGACAGAAGCGTCTGACTCGAAAGCTTAACCGAGGAAAGACCTAAGTCGAGGTCGAAGCTAGGGGTGGCCGTGGTCCCTTCTCACATTTTGAACGGTCCCAGATCGATTAGCTAGGCGACCGAGCGACCGGAACATGGTGACAGCGGAAGTGGTGGCGACGATTACGGATGTGATGGATGTGGAATGGTGGAGCGGAGGTTGCGGCGGCGATTGCGGAAAATGGGTGTCGTATGGAGGGAACAAAGCGACGAATAAGCGCCTTCACTGAGTCGCTCGCTATATCGCTTGTTGAGAAAATGATCTGTGGAAATTGGCTTGCATAAGGAGAATTTTTGTAAGGCTTATTGAAAATGCTGATCTACAGTGAGTGTAGCATCAATAATTAGCCACGTCATCCAGCCTCAGCCATTCGAAGGTCTTCTCTGCATGCAAGTGCCTGTTCGCAATCGCAAAAATGTAATCTTCCGGCTTGAAAGTCAGGCTGTCACACCCGATTCCGCCGCGTTGTCCTTCTAACAATGTGAAATCTAGCATCCTTCGGCAATGTGTAATTGGGTTCTAAGAATCTGAATCGTGAAGTCCTTTGGAGCCGCAGAGATCTGAAGCTCCATTCGAACACTCGAAGCATTTCGAAACCTGGACTATAAAAATCATCCACATTGATTGGCAGTCTCCGTCAGCTTGACGCCCCTGTTACCTGCCGTTCCGTTCCAGTTCCCGTCAGGGTTTCGCAATTTCCGTCCAATTTTGCTGGGCTTCCCAACCCAACCCCCCTCGGTGGTTCTCACCGATCTGGGTCCGAACACCCGGTCTGCAAGCGACCATCCTCCCTCCAGCCCATCTGCTCCTGACTTAGGAACCGCATCGCCAACCATGAGAAAGAAGCTTGACACTCGGTTTCCAGCGGTACGTGCAGCGTTCGTCCTCGCTATTTGCAGTGTGACGTGCTTCATCTTCCACTCATCTTTCGTGTTTTGTTGTCGCGTTTCTGTGGTCTTCAGGCTCGAATAAAGAAGATCATGCAAGCGGATGAAGAAGTCGGAAAGATAGCGCTTGCAACTCCCGTTCTGATATGTACGTTGGAAAGATATTTGCATCTTCTACCTCCGTCTCGTATTACGGATTTTTTTTTCTCAACTAAGTCTATTTGCTGCATGTCTCCGTCTTCGTATGTTTTCGGGGTTAGATGTGCAGCCAAGGCCCTAGAGATTTTCCTCCAGGACTTGTGTGATCGGACGTATGATATCACTTGCAAGCGCGGGGCGAAAACCCTGGCCGCGTCCCATTTGTAGGTGATATTGTACGTTTTTTTTTACGTCGGCTTTTTTTTATCTGCAAAGCTGAGTATGTATCTATTATTGTGCTGATCTACGGTCGACCGACACCATGTTGCAGGAAACAGTGCGTCGCCTCTTTCAGCGAGTACGATTTTTTGAAAGAAGTCGTTTCAAAACTTCCAGATGTTGACGCCCCGGACTCTCCTGATGATGCCCCATCCGGTCGCGCAAAGAGGTGAGATTATTATAGGAGTACACCGAAATCGTGACGCTGGTTGTGAGCTTTGAATTCATGATTGATTGTGCTTCGTCCTTTCTACCGCAGGAAGCTGTCCGACGATGATCAAGAAGATCCTGTTTCTCCGAAATTTAAGGTGAGTTGATTGCTGCTTTTTCTTCAACTCGTTGATGTGTGAGTTGTCCCGGGCTCACCAGCCTTTGGTTTTTGCGTTGTCTTAACAGGAATCGAAGGGGACTAGCCGTGGGAGATCAAACGGCTGCAACGAAGTGGTGAAGGCGGAAGTCAAGTTAAAGAACGGCAATCCACTCTCAAGTGCAAGAGCTGACGGCCCAAGTGGCTCTGGTCATGCTTTGAGAAAGCGAGATGAAGCGGAGGATCTCAGCAAGCCAACAAAAAGGTCAAAAGCTCTGTCCGACCAGCCAAGGCCGTTTAAGGTGCTTTGCAAAGTGAAGATTCCGAAGAGAAATTATTACGATACTGAGGAGACTCCAACTGCAATTACCGAGCCAAAGGTGGAGCACCTGCGAGCAGTGAAGGCAGAAGCAAGACCAGTCCAGAGGGAAGCTGACCCGAATGCAGAAGTGAAGGCAGAAGCAAGTCCGCGAGGGTTTGACCTCAATGCGGAGCCACCTGAAGATGCAGCATGCAACAAGGATGATTGTATCGATGTCCAGCATCCTGGAGAGTCGAATAGCAATGATGATGAACCTCATGGTGTGAATTGCCAGGAAAAAATAGCTGCTGTTGATAGTGGCCCCTGCGCAAAAGCTGCTGTTGATGCCCCCCTCCTTAGAAACTGTGTTAATTATGATAGTGAGGATGACTATGATTGTGATGATGGGGCGTAGTCTTGCCATCTACACATCTTGATCTAATGTACCTAACCTGATTTTATGTTGCTCCATTCCACTAAGCAGTGCTTCTCCTTCCTAAACCTTCTCTTCCCTCCCTACAGGTTCCACGTGAAAGTCAACAGCCAAGATGGATTCACTCAATGGCAGCACATGCTGTCGCAGCACCTGCCGGTGGCTGGGGTGCTTGTTGTAAGCATCCAGTGCCTCCTCTGTGATCACACACAATGTGGCAGGGGAGACAGAGATTGGGGTGCTTGAGAAGCGAAGGTAGGCAGGTACATCTGTCCTGATGGTACATAGACCTGAGAGCACAAAGACTTGAGGGTACACAGACATGAGGGTACATAAACCTGAGGGCATGTAGACTTGAGTGAGGGTGCATCCACATGAGGTGCACCCACCCACCTGAGGGTGCATCCACCTAAGCATACACCAACCTGAGGGGAATCTCGCCACGAGTCCGTGCGTAAAGCCCTTGGCGGTGTCGACAGCAAAGTTGGCGCCAGCAGTGAGCTGCACGAGGATGTGCGGTTCCATGACTAGGGGCAGGGCAGCCAGGGCTGCAACCATGGCGCTCTGCTTGTCCGCCTCCGCTGCTGGCTTGGCGCGCAGCAACACCACGTGCTCCACTCCCCGCTCATACGCCTGCTCAGAGTGTGCCATGGGGGGAAGAGGAGGGGGAGAGAGTGTGGACGGACAAAGCATAGGGGGGAAGAGGAAGGGCATCAGAAAGGAACAGCAGAAGGACAGAATTGAAGTGAAGGAGCGAGGAAAGGAGAGAGTGACGAAGGATTTGATGAGGGGGGTGTGGACGAGGGAATGGGGGAGAGGAGAGAAGCGAAGAGCAGGGGACTCACATCGCCACGCCTGAAGACGCTCTCTATGTCTGCCTCCACCTGGGCCTCGTATGACAGCGATAGCGTGTCCTGCTCTCATGCATGCACTCCATCATATTCATGCGCACATGCTCACGCACACGCATTCATGATCACATGATCAACCCCCACTTCCCCTCCCCACACACATGGACGAATAGGTACACAAATGAAAAGCAGACAAGGAAGAGGAGAGGCACAAACACGGGAGCAGGCCATGGGAGACGAGGAACCCAGGGCTAGACGCAGGGGGTTAGAGAAGCCACGACCGAGGAATTGGCAGGAGCAAGGCGAGTGGCGGCACTCATGGTGCATGCGGGTGCGATGGCAGGTTGGGTTTAGGGGAGTTGGAGTGAGAGACGAGAAACCGATGCTGCGAGAGAGGAGTAACTGTTGGTGCCGCATTGCGCACTCACGGTGCACGTGGGCGAGACGGAACTGCTCCATGACGGCCGTCAGCACGAGAGAAGCAAAGGCTAATGAGTTGAGAGGAGATCGGCGAGAGGCGGCACTCACGGTGCACGAGGGTGTGACTCACAGTGCACGAGGGCGTGACTCACGGTGCACGAGGGCGTGACTCACAGTGCACGAGGGCGTGACTCACAGTGCACGAGGGGGTGACTCACGGTGCACGAGGGGGTGACTCACGGTGCACGAGGGGGTGACTCACGGTGCACGAGGGCGTGACGAACTGCTCCATGGCGGCCGCCAGCGCGGGCAGCGCGAGGAAGCCGTCCAGTGCCTGGCGCGAGGGGAAGCGCGCGAAGAGCGCGTGGGAGAAGCCGACGGGGCGCTTGGTGGGTTGGATGCGGCCGAGCGAGATGGCGAGGAGGTGCGGGTAGTGGTACTGCAGCGAGTACAGGTGGCTCAGCATGTCGCCCTCGCTCTCCTCCGCCATGTCCGCCGGCATATTAAACAGCGCCACGTGCTCCACCACCGGGCTGGAGGGCGGGGGGGGAAGACAGGAGGGGGCGCGATGGGGGAGGGCGCGAATGGGGAGAGCGCGCAATTGGGGAGAGGGCGCGAATGGGGAGAGCGCGCAATTGGGGAGAGGGCGCGATGGGGGAGAGGGCGCGATGGGAAGAAGGGCGCGACTGAGGGGGCAGAGACTCGGGGCGATGGAGCCTCAGGTAGCAGCATTTTGAAAACGGTGACAGAACGCAATGATGCACCCGAGATCGCGGGAATGAACGGTGACAGTTTCGGAAACTAAACGCGCAGCACAATTATTACGGGCGCTCCTCACGTCATCTTCACGGGTCGCTCCGCCGAGTCCATCTCGCCGCCGCTTGCCCTATCCGCCGCGCCTGCAGTAGCGGCCACAACCACCCCACCAGACGCGGAAATTGACCGTCTGCTCAAGGCCCGATCTAACCGCCTCCACCCGACCAACGCGCCGCTTAGATCCCTCCGGGTCCCGCGCGCTCTCTCGCTGCTACCCACTAGGCCAATTCCACCTGCCTTGCCGGTGCCGGGGCGTGCGGTATAAGGGGCGGAGCTAGCGACGAGGCCTGCGAAAGGTACTGAAGCGAGCGGCTTTGCTGCGACTGAGTGATGCAGCATCGCGGCTTCTTCCGTTGAATTCGCTGCGGCTGTTATTCAGTCGTCAACAATGGCTGTCAGATTGGAAGGAGCAGATAGGAATCCCCAAAAGAACAAGCGGCGAAAGAGTGAACGCAACACCCCGACCCTACATCATGCTTGGAGCATCAAGAGTGGCGAGGCGACACCAAAACACGTGCTCAGCATGATTCGAACCTGCGCGGGCAGAGCCCACAAGATTTCTAGTCTTGCCCGATAACCACTCCGGCATGAGCACACATTTTCTGTTCACACTAGAATTTACCACGCTTCAGTACCCCTGCTGTGTGCATAACACAGGTACTAGCAAAACTGCTAAAAGTATCAGAGCCAGGTTTCGATCCTGGGACCTGTGGGTTATGGGCCCACCACGCTTCCGCTGCGCCACTCTGATATGATAGCTGGCTCAAAAAGCATGGTATTATTGATATATTGAATTAGTATCCCAAAATGAAAGTTCCGGAAGCATGATGCTGGCGTGTGAATCCCTAGTGTGCAAAACTCGAGCCGTCTTATTCTCGAACCCAAGGCGGCAGATATCGATTTGCCATTCCAATTCTATCTCACTTTCGCTACCCATTACTTTCGCCACTCTCCGCTGCCCGCATCTCGCTCGATATCGTCGTGCCTGATCTCGATATCGTGCCTCCTCTCGTCGGCACCCTAAGTGCTCTCCGCGTTCATCGCCTCCGCACCGCACGAATTATAAGCGATCGCGACAGGATGACTCGAGAGCTCGCTACCATCATCACAGCAGCTGCCGCTCTTGTCGGGACCGGTCTGGGCCTGCTTTTATCGCGTACATTGCTGAAGCCTAGAATAGGGAATCGACGGTGAAGCACGTATTCCTGGCGAAATTTAAGGCGGATCAGACGCCTGAGCAAATCCAGGAGCTGATCGAGGGATACAAAGGGCTCACCAAGAAAATTCCGGCCATGAAGGGATTCGAGTGGTGAGCTGCATCTGCCACGCTTCACTCTCTCCCCTCCCTTCGTTTCAACCAAAGAAAATTCGTCAACGTCTTTCCGTTAGCTTGGCCCTTGCTGCCCCATTGCTGATGCACAGGTGCATTCCCACGAGCCTCCCTGCAAAAACCCCCCAGGCACCATGTGGCCAGACTGCTATGCGGCCTCATTCGCCCCTCTGCCCCTCTCTTCCCTACAACCTCGTTCCGTGCCATGAACATCCCCCTGCCGCCCGCCCTGTGCCCCCCCCTGAGACTGCTTGTGCACGGCAGGGGCGCGGACGTGAGTGTGGAGGGCTTCACCAAGGGGTACACGCACGTGTTCATCACTACCTTTGACGACACGGCGGGGCGCGATGCGTATGTGGAGCACCCGGAGCACAAGGCGTATGCAGGGGTGTTCTTCCAGGGGCTGGAGGACGGCATTGTGCTCGACTATGTGCCCTCCGTTGTCCTCTCCCGCTTCTACTCCTGACCGCCCAGCTCTCTGCCTCTCACCTCCTAGCTGACGCCAAGAGAGCTGAAATATTATTGGGTTGCTTTTACCTTTCACTGAAATATATGGTACCTACTATCAGCCCTCAAAATTCGGGCTTTGGAATAAGGAAGGTGTGTGAGCCCCAAAAGACAGACTGAAAAAGACTAGTGGGTATCCCGAAACAAAAATTCGGAAGCACGATGCTGGCGTGTCAGCCCTCAAAATCACGAAAAACATAAGCAAATGCTGTCGGGGACTCGTGGGGTAGAATGCGTTGAATGGAGTCACATGACATGCAAGAAAAGCGCCCACCTCCCTCATGGAGTCATCTCTTATGAATTTCATTTGTTCCACATCGATCCTCCTCCAGCTCAGCCATGGGTCGCGGATCTTTCGTCTCGCTGCGCTTTCCTTCGCACCTCGCCATCTATGTGCTGCTCGCTATCTCCCTCTCCGCGTTCTGCGCCGCACAGCTTAACGATGGCGCTGCCGCATTTCCTGCTGAGCCGCGTCGGCTCGGCGATCCCAAGCTTCCGTTGGCCCTCGCGGCGGTCGAGGCGCTCCTCCGCCAGGCGCAGTTCGACGTCGCTGTCGGGGAGTACGATCGCGCCGCTCGCCGCCTTTTTTCGCCCGTCGCCGAAGTGTCTATCCCGGGCCGCCCTCTGCAGCGCCTCAAAACCCTCGAAGAAAAGGCAGCGTTTCTTGAGTCACTCGCGCCTGTTCCGCCCCCCTCTCCCCCACCCTCCGCAAACGGTACTCTTTTGAGCGGTTTGTCCCCGGTAGTGGCCGCTTCGTTAATCGAGCGCGCGGAGCTGTACGTGCCCAAGTACGATCGCTACCTGGGCTACTCGCTGCTCACTTACGGCCGCCTCCTGCAGGACGCAGAGTCCGCCGAGCCGCGCACCGGCAAGTTCGTCCTCTTGTGGGATGTCATCGCGGACAACGCCAGGGTCGCGGAGGATGCTGACGTGGAATCTTCGCGGCAGCAAGAGAGCAACTCCGTCTACGCGTGGGGGCTCAGCTGGGCTTACTGGAACGACGACGCGCACAGGCATGGCCCGCCCCCCTCCCCCCCGCCTCGCCCACCGCACCCTCACCCTCCGCACCCGCCCCACCCGCATCCTCCTGCCCCTGCCCCATCTCCTGCTGCATTGTCCACCGTTGATGCTACCGTCCGTGACGCCCGCGCTACCCTTGGATCTGATGATGGCAGGCAACCAAGCCACGAGGTCTCGCTCGCCAAGCCTCTGCCTTACCTCCCCGAGCCAGAGCGCACCCTGTCCGAGCCTCTCGCCGATCCGCACCCGGCCGACTTGAAGCTGCAGATTCAGGAGGCTTGGGCGAATTTCAGCCTCAACCTGGCGAATGCTGACGTGGCAGCAGCTGCCAGCATTTTCGCTGACAACGTGACGCTGCTGCCACCTGGCCATCCGAAGCTCACCCTACCAGGGCCCCTGGACAAGCAGGATTACCTGCAGCGACTGGTGGACTGCCACGTGGCACTGGATGTGACCGTCGATTCTCTCCTTCTGGTGAAGCTGAAGTCCTCGCTGACGCCTGTCGTCCCGCCGCCGCCCCCGGCTCCCGAAGTTCTGCCTTCCCAGGACGCGTCGTCCGCCATGCTCCGTGGCTACAGTGCCGCGGATCTCCTGGCTGATAACGAGGAGCTCAATAGCGGGGCGTCGAATGGCGATGCGTTGGGTGTGATCACGCGCTCCTCCTTCATCCTCACCAACACCTCCACCGGTATGTTGCTGACGCTCACCTCAGATAGATTCATGGCTGGATCCTTGTGGCTGATCGTTAAGGGGTTGACTTGCAGCTTCCTGTGTACCCAGAGCATGCTCACCCACTCCACATCCATCTCTGAACCTCTCTCCTCCCTTCCCTCCCTCCATGCGTTTTCCTCGAGTAACCCCTTTTCTTTCACTCACTCCCTGCCCTTTTCCCTTAACGTCAAGCTCCCTCCTGCTATTCCCTATTCCTCCCTCCCTGCCCTTCCCCCCTCCCTGCCTTCCCTCCTCCCTGCCCTTTCCCCCTTGGTGCCCTTGTGGCCTTTCTGCCATGCTGCACTGCCCGTGCAGGCAAGCATGTGAAGGCGGGCTCTCTGCTGCAGAAGTGGGCGCGCGTCAACCTGCCCGACTCTGGCATGGCAGCAGCAGGCGCGCCCCTTGCCGCCTCTCGCCACCGCTGGTACTTCGAGTGGGCCATCTGGAACTACCACAAGATCCCGGCTGCTGATGTTGCTGCCATTTAGGGTACCCATGTGGTGGTTGTGGCATGATGGCTTCAACTAGAGTATGTTTGAACCTGGTGCATTGACAACAGAATTTTAACGGAGTTAGCCAAGCTGTGTTTTTCCGTTTGCGATGTGTACTGCAAAAACTAGAAAAGGTCATGCTCTAGTAGATTGAGCACCCATCACCGTATCATAATCAAAATTGCCATATTCTTGGAGGACGTCACAATAGTATTATTAACGCGGACGAGCAAGGTCGCGCTGGTGCATGCATATCTTGAAGAATGCCTAGCGCGACCGCTGCCTCACCTCGCCTCATCTCGCGACCTCTACCTCATCTCGCCTCACCTCTGCCTACTGTCCTCACGGAGAGATTCCGGCCAGCGCCTTCGCTGTCTGGAAATTGGTTGCTCGATCAGATAGATCATAGAACCAGCACGTCTCGCTCGCCTTGAAGAATCGCCTAATTGCTAGCGTCTCTACATTTCTGACTCTGTATCAGATCAATCGTGCGTCTATGATCTGGCGATCCAATCCGCGGTCGTAGTGTTTAAAATCTGAACGATCACGCCGTCCGCTTCTCGCGGCTGTCGACGTCGTTCCATTCGACATAACCAGCATCGCAATTGACACGTTAGCTGGTTGGTGTAGCGGCCTCACGGCTACCGCCGTGTGAACATGTCGCCACCGGCTCCCGCGCAGGTACGACCACCCCCATTCCGCGCATCTGCTTTCTCTCCTTCCCTGAATCCTATTAGGTTAATTGCGGGTCAGACTGGACTTCCCGCTTTCCCCACTCGCTGCTCGGGTACCCTCCGCTACACCCGCTACATCGCGCTTTGAGTTTTGAGTAGTTTCAACCGTCGCAAACGCGTCTCGCGCTGCGCCGTGTGCGCTCGCCGCCTCCCCGTGCTCTCCCAGGTGCGGTCGCTCTTCCGGACTCTCCTGCGCGAGGCGCACCGGTTCCGCAACTACAACGTTCGCCACTACGCGTCCCGCAGGATTCGCGAAGGCTTCGCGGAGAACAAGGACATCGCGGAGCCGGAGAAGGCGGAGGCGGCGTACGAGGAGGGCGTGCGCGCGGCGGCGATGGTGCGGCGGCAGGTGGTGGTGTACAACATGTACGCCGCGCCGCAACGGTCCATCATGGAACTCGACAATCCCTAGGGCTCTCCCTACTTATTCATGAGAGGACCATAGTCACCATACCGCTGCTAGCACAGCCGTGGTGAATGTACACTTCAATAAATAGAACCCTATACAAGATTACTTAAAAAATTGGGGAGTAAATGTGTCACATTATTGCCATTCTTGGGCATTATCCTCTGCCAGCCCTGGAGCCACCTTGGTCACCTCTTCAGCCGCCTTGGCCACCAAGCCATCCACGATCTCACTCCACTTGCCAGCCACCACCCCTGCTGCCTTCTCCACCTCCGCCCTCACCCTCTCTACCTCCGCCTTCACTCTCTCCATGGCCGCCTCTGCTCCACTCCCCCCCAACTCTCCCCCCCTCTCCCCATCCACCGCCCCCCCTCCTCCCTTGTCCACTCCATCTGCATCGTTCGCTCCCTCCTCCCCGTCCCTCCCGCCCATATCATCCTGCGTCTCCTCTGGTTCATCAGAGTGCAAGTGCGGCATGCTGCTGGGGTCAGCAGCGTGGGCCACGTGCAGAGACACGGCCCGCGCAAGCGCCTCTAGGTGCTCCCCCCGCCGCTCCTTGAGCGTGGAGCTGCGCTGCATGCGCTGCTGCTCGGGAGGGGTCTGCTGCTCCTGCTGCTCCGCTTCCATTGCCTGAGTGCGCCATAGTACAGGGAAGGGGGGTTGGCAAGGCGAGATCAGAAAACACAATCGAGAATGGAATGGAGACAGGTGGCAGCGAAACAAGAGACAACAAGGAGCTCAGCTGAGGGCACAGCAGTGGGCGATGGGAGGATAAGGGGACTCACTGCTAGGGGGTGAGTACAGCGAGAACAGGGAGCAAACAATTATGAATGGGGACAGGTGGCAGTGAAACTGGAATCAACAAAGAGCTCAGATGAGGGCAAAGCAGGGGGCGATGTGAGGAAGGATGGGGTGGGGACTGACAGCGAGGGCGAGGGCGCATTTGGCCTCGATGTGGCCGATGATGTGATCGTAGATGATGGAGGGCGACAGCACCACGCGCTCAAACCGGTGATCCACCGGCACTGCTGTCTTCACCACCGGGTGTGGGTATTGCTTCATGCTGCCACAGGCAGGTGGGCCGCAGTTGTGCAATCACATGGGTGGTGGGCAGTGGGGCGGCGTGAGACAGAATGAGGGCTCTAGTGCATGGTGACACCCTCACGCACATGCCAAAGAGTACAGGGATAGTGGTGGCTCAGCGTGTGCCTTTCTGTACCGCGGAGTTCACACACATCGTGCTGTGATCGCCACACAGGCACAGTGCAGGGCACAGCAGCGTACCCGACTTGTGGGCGGTAGAGCACGTGGAAGAGCCGTCCAGGGGCGTAGAGGCGGCGCGGGTCCTTGAGCTTGTCGGCGGTGGAGATGAGTGCGTCCTGCTGGTACTTGTATAGTAGCATGCATGGCAGACTGCGGTGCATTGTGGGGTGAGGCACGTGGGTGTGGGGGTCACGTGCATGGGATGGGATGGGAGGTGGCATTGTGAGGAAACGAAGGAGTGAGTGAGGGACTGAGGGAGTGTGCACAAAAAACAGGTAACAGTAGAGAATGTGGGATGGCAGCAGCAAGCGAAAAAAAACGGCACATGGAGAGAGAACAGCAGCATGCAAGCTGAAGCCAGCAGTGGGCGAGTTACCAGAAGCCAGCAGCAAGTGCAGATCGAACAGGTGCTGATGTGCGCGCCAGAAAGTCATCCTGTGACGTGGCATGCGGGATGGGTGGGAGGGTGCAGGAGGGGGAAGATTTTGGGGAAAAGGGGGCGTCTTAGGGTGAGCAGGAGGTGGCACGGAGAGATGAAGACAGCAGAGCATGCAGAGCGTGGGGGGGTTGCAAAGGGCTATCACTGCAACGTGGAAAGGGCTGCAGGATTGTTGCCATGCGCGTGCCTCGCCCGCACCTGCAGCACGACGGAGTTGATGACGTCAGCGTATTTAATGGCGAGGTTGAGCGACATGGAGCGAGCAGGCGCCATGCAGAAGCACCGCAGGCGGCGCAGGCTGAACCCCACGCGCTCCCTGCTCGCGTGCAGAATCACCGTCGCCATGGCCACCACGCCGCTGCCCAGCGAGTGGCCCGTGAGCGTGAGCGTGTAGGCGGGGTGGCAGCGCGCGAGCATGGTGAGAACGGGCATTTCCTGGTCCAACAGCCACGCCGCTGCTTTCAGCATGCCCGTGTGCACGAACCCCCCGTCCAGGCGCTGCCAGGCGAGGAGGGCGATGGGGAGGGGGAGGGGGAAGGGGATGGGAAGGGGAAGGGAAGGGGAAGGGGAAGGGGAAGGGGAAGGGGAAGGGGAAGGGGAAGGGGAAGGGGAAGGGGAAGGGAAAGGGGAGGGGAAGGGGAAGGGAAGGGGAAGGGGAAGGGGAAGGGGAAGGGGAAGGGGAAGGGGAAGGGAAAGGGGAGGGGAAGGGGAGGGGAAGGGAAGGGGGATGGGGAGGGACGGTACGTTTGAGTTGAATTGCTGTCGCGCGGCGGGGGAGTGGGAATGAAACAATTGCGTGTCAGATAGTGGAGTGCACGGTTGAGAGCACGGGTTGCAAGGGAGATGAGGCAAGGTGGAGACGACGGGTTGAAGGAGCATTGCAGTGCGGATGGAAGGGATGAGGGGAGGAGAGGGGAAGGGGGGGAGGGGAGGAGGAGAGGCAAGGCGAGGGGCAGGTGAAGGAGGAGGGAGGTGGGACCGTTGAAGAACGCTCCATAGTCCCACCAGCAACAAGCCATGCACCCACGCCTCTCCCCCCTTCCGTTCTCGTACTGCACCGCACTGCACCGCTCACCTCCGAGCCCTTCTTCTGGTCCAGCAGGATCTCATAATCCTTGATCTGCGAGCTCTTTAATCCGCGCACTGCCAGGCAGATGTCGCGCGCCTCGTGGTCCACGTAGATCATGTACGGCGGGCACCGCCCCTTAGTATCCTCGTAGTTCGCGCGCCGCACCACGAAGTCCTCGTTTATGAGCCCTCTAAAGTACGGCTCCGCGCGCCGCATTTTGTAGACGGTGCTGAGGAGGTGGCAGAGGCGAGGCACGTCTTGGAACTCGGCACACGTGGCGAGCGGCCATTGGGCGCTGGTTGCTTCGCTAGAGCGCGTGCAGCGACGGTAGGTCCAGAGGATGCAGCAGCAGGGACAGCAGAAGATCAGCGGTAGTTGCGGGAACATTGACATGGTAACTAGATAGAGGACTCCTGATTACTATAACCTGTCTGCGAGAGGCAATGTCGGTACGAGGGCTGATTGCTGACTGTGCGAATTGCTCATAGCTTGAAGAAGCATCTATATTTTCGTCCTGTGGCTGCTGCGGCAGGACGTACTAACTAGCTGTCCCACCCACAATACTAAAATAGGAGCGCTTCCCGTTTTGGTGGAGGGGTGGAGGAGGGGGACACAAAACAGGTGTGCAACGGGGGGCACCCACCCACGTGATGCCATCATGTCGTGATGCGATGCAACGTGCTTTTTAGCGCGGGGATAAATCCAATTGGTGGGCGATCCATGAGCAAAACAAAGAATAACATAAGGGGTGTTCCGAGAATTGAACTCGGGACCTCTCGCACCCAAAGCGAGAATCATGCCACTAGACCAAACACCCACGGCATCGCGAATCCTGTGTGATCTCATAATAACATTACCGGTTTTTTGCAGACCACTTACCTTGGGATGAACTATTGAGGAAACAGCTCGTCCTGATCGCCATACTTTTAGAGGCTCCTATGATTCTCGAAAGCATCGGCTGGGCCTCGCCGCCGGGCTATAAAAGCCGCAATGGCTCCTTCCCTCAAACACCACAGCACCACTTCAGCTATTCAATCGCGCTTCACCAGCGTCTCCCTCATCGTGCTTCGAGTTCCAGCACCGTGGTTAACTCATGGCTATCTGCGCGACTCCTCTCGGACGTACCTTGCTTGTTCTGGGGCTCGCTCTGCTCGGCCTATCCTGGCCATTCATCGCGGCATCGAGGCGCGTGCTCCCGGAGTCATCAACTGCAGCCAGCACGTCGAACCTGTTCGGCGGTCTTTTCTCCTTCAGCTCTATGCAGAATCTGGACGTTACCGATGGCGGTGCCATCTCCCTCACGCTAGACCGCGTTGGAGGTAAGTGTTTTTGAAAACAAGAGTTTAATTAGGCAGAGAAAATTCCGTGTGCATGTGCCTGAATTCGCGAGCTTTGAAGCGAGCAGCTCTAACAGCGCGCCTCATTCTGATGCTGTGCAGGGGCGGGGTTTGAGTCGCGACGGGCCTTTAGCTTCGGGACTTTCAGCGTGGACGCGAAGATGCCGCGAGGGTACTCTGCTGGAGTGTGCGCCACCTTCTTTGTACGACGCTCCCGCTGCACTCTGCTTAAGTCGAGCTCAGCTCAACGCGATCTTTGCTTGCGCAGTGGCATGTGCCTGATGAAGCCATGCAAGGCCCAGAGTTTCAACATGGTTGCATGTTAAACACGGGTTGGGAGGGGCCTTTTCCGATGTGCCCAGCCTCTCGCAACACTTCGGGTTTTTCCCGCTGAGTCAGCAAACTTGCTGGGCCAACGCTTGTTTGGAACCGAGATGTCCCAAATTGCAGTGAAATGAATCTTTGAAGTGTCTGCTCTACAAGCGAGTCCCTAACTCTTCATGCATGTCGTCGTTTCCGTCCATCCATCTGCATGCAGCTGCAATCAGGCGACTATGATCATCGCAACGAGTGGGACTTTGAGTTCCTGGGGTCGCCCAACAACTCACGAGGCATGACGCTGCAGACCAACGTGTTCATGAACGGCCAGGGCGACCAGGAGGTGCTCACTGCCTTTGCCTTCGACCCTGCTGCTGCCTTCCACACGTACACCATTCAGTGGGGCCCGCAGCGGACCGTGTGAGTGCCTCTTTCCGCCGCAGTGCTCAGAGAACTTGCTGTCTGCGTTCTTTTTATTTTTCATGCTTCACCTGCCAATTATAATTAAAATAGCCTCCCTGAGCTTCACCTGAACATTTGATTGTCAAATAATCAACCTGTCTGCACATGGTGGTGGCAGTTGGCTGGTGGACGGAGTGAACATCCGCACGGTGAGCAACAGCAGCCCGCACTACCCCAAGGACCCCATGAAGGTCTACTTCAGCATCTGGGACGCCTCCCCCTGGGCCACCGGGCCCCGCACCGCCCGCATCCCCGTCAACTATGACTACGCGGTAAGCGTACCCCTTAATTTTGTTCCTGGGATGGCACTTATTGCATTTGTCATAATGTATTTATGAGTGTGTTCCTGATTCTGCAGCCTTTTACCGTGACGTTCAAGAACTTCAAGTACACCCCGCTGTCTGCAAATTGATGGGACCGACGCTAGCTGGATGGAACTTTAAGTGAGGCAGGGAGGGACGGTGCGACCCAGTCAATGTGCCTGCGATGGAGAGTTCTTTCTTGTTACTTCGTGCAGTCATCCCTGGGTTGGGTGGGAAAGTTTTGTAGCAAATGTATGTCTGTATGGCTTGTTATAATGGGATAGTGACCTCACAAATCTGTTCTTGTAATAACAGGCGTCAACATCAATGGGTGAGGCTTGGTCCAACACTACTAAAAGGGACCACTAAGCAAGTGAAGTCACACTGACTATGCGTAGTAGGATTTGATGTGCACCAAACGGCATTTTCTGCACATGAACAACGTGACTACCCTTGTCCACAAAAATGTCCTTCAATTGGTGCCCTGAGACGGGGTACCATAGTCTGTGCAGATGGATATCCAGCTGTGTAAACATACTCTTGAGACAGTTAATAACCTGGAAAGATGATGGCAAATCCACGAATCCTTACTTATATCGCGAACGCGCTCATTTTCGCTGGCATTCAACCACATGGGGAAACCCAGCTGCACCCAGCCATCCGCGCAGAAAGGGGCCAAGCGGGGGACATGCGGCATGGCATGTCACGCGGAGGTAGCACCCACCCCCATGCCATCCTCGCTTCTTTATGCCTGTAAGGAATTTTCTCGATATTCCTTAGCGCACCCTGCAACATCGCGTACAGCAGCAGCCGTTGTTCGCCCGTTACTGCTAACGGGGCTTCGCCGACTTCGCGCGCACTGTTTCACCAAACCTCGCACTGCTGGCCTGGCCGTGTCGGCCTACGCTTCGGGACTAGCCCGAGCCTCGCTTCCAGCATAGCATTAACTAGCTCGCACGCACCGCGTTACCGTTTGCATGTTTCGCGTATAAATGTTCGCTCATGCCTTCGCTCACATTTTGTACTCGTTTGACACCTTAGTGCAATTCTCGCTACTTCGATTCATTGCACCCGTAACAATGCCCCAAGCGTGAGTCGAAACTTAGAAGTCTGCAAGCCCTGCGCCGCAGAGAGCACGTGGCAGCCTCCGCCTCTTTCTTGGCTCCTACTCGTTCTCGCGAGTGGCTAGGTGGAGTCGCGATGAGGCATCTCCCGCGTTCGCAAGCCCAATGCCGCGCATCGCACCCGTTGCGCCTGCCAGCCGCGCTACTGCTCTCCGCCCTGCTTCTTCTATTGCTACCAATGCTGCCTCGCAGCTATGCTGAATTCGGAACCAAGCCTGCTGCCGAGCCTGACACGTTGTTAGGTTCGGTGGACCCGCGTGAGGTCGTCGAAACCATCGCCGACTCACTGAGCGATCTCGCCGCCGCCGTGAATTCCGGGGATGCGTGCGGCATTCTGGACTTCTTTCCCGAAACTTCGTCAATCCTTCCTCCTCATTCCCCGGAGCTGCTTCTCAACGCGAGCGCGCTGCGACTTAGCCTCGTGCAGCAGCTGCTGGCGCTGGACATTAGAATGCGCTTTAATGTCCTCGAGGCCTGGGTGGGCAAAGGCGACCCGGGGAGAGTCAGAGACGCGATCCGGATACTAGGAACGCGAGGAGATCCGGCGACAGGGGCAGGGACAGCGACAGCGCAACAGCAGCAGCATAGGGGGGAGGAGACAAAGGAGGAGGAAGAAGACGAAGAGGTGGAAGAAGAGGAGGGCGCGGAGGGCAGTGGGGCGGGTGGGGACGGCGCGGGTTTGCTGCGAGGCGGTGACCTGTTCGCCGTGGCTCGCATTGCATTCACTGCAAACTGCCTTGGCGCGACTCGGCGGAGCGGCCAAATGGAGCAAGGAGGAGAGCTAACGTCAGACGGCGAGGAGGTCGAGGAACTACGCGAGGAAGCTTCCATGAGCGAATCAACGTGCGTGGACGGGTCCATTCTGGCCACGTGGCACAGATCTGCTGAGCTGGCACGCAGCGGGGGTAAGGCGACGAGCCGTGAGAGCAGGGGTTCTGAGTGTCGTTCACGAGGGGCACGCAATGACCACTCCAAGGTGTGGCGCTTGCACTGGGCTGCCTGGAACCACGCCAACCGCACCTGCCAGAACCGCGGAGCACCACATCACACCACGTGGGGCAATGCGGAGGGGTTGGTGCAGGCGGGCAGTGTGGGGGTTGCTAGTAGGAAGGGTGCGCGGCAGCTGCTGGTGACGCCACAAGCCACCGCTTGGCTCACTGCTGTGCCCGCTGATGTCAGCAGTGAGGGGAGCGACGTGAGCAGCAGTACGGTGCAGGTACAGGAGAGTGACGGGGCGGGCAGGGGGAGTGGCCGTGAGGCGGTGGGAGGGGGATGTGCGCAGTGGAAGGTGGAAGCAGCACTGGCAGCGCTCACAGTGGCACTGTTGAACGGCAATGCCACTGCCGCTGCACAGATATTCGCCCCCGGTGCCGTGCTCTTCCCCCCGGCCTCCCTGCCCCTGACTCTGCACACGGCTGCACAGGCAGCAGCGTGGCTGCAGCCAATCACAGGCCGCCGCCTCATCTTCCAGCCCCAGCTGGAGGAGCTGCTCGTGCTGCAGGCTGCCACGTGGCATGCTCTAGAGGGTGACACGTGGCAGGCTTTAGGGGTGGACACGTGGCATGGGAGCAGAGTGGGGTCATCGCCGTACGTGGTGGTGACACGGGGCGTTTACAGGCTGTGGGAACTCAACGGTACGTTGCCCTAACCTGCTTGCTCCCTGCTGCTTTGGCTTGTGCTCACCTCCATTGCCAGGGACTTTTCTCCTTGCCTGCCCTGCTTGCTTCATTTGCAGCTTCAAGCAATTGCTGATTGAGTGGATGTGCAAGCGTCCCTTCTTGTGTGAGTGGCGACTATCGTGTGAATGCCAGCTTGTGCCCATGCGTGTGTGCATGGCGTGGCATGGGTGCAGGGCTTTTTGAGGGGCAGGGCAAGTTCGTGCTGCTGTGGGAGAGCAGCAGCGAGGACCACACCAGTGCAGGGCAGCCAAGGCAAGGCACAGAGGGACAGGGGCATGTAGGTTCGAATGCAGGAGCGTCAGCTTCGCCAATGACGGAGCCATACTGCTCCTCCTTCCGTGTCACCAGAGCCCTCTGGAACTCCGACATCCCTGCTGTCCCCCCCGCCCCCTCCCCCGCTTCCCCTCCCTCCCCGCCCTCCCCACCCTTCCCCCCCGCCCCTGCCTCCCCTCCTCCGCCTCCCCTTTCCCCTCCCCCACCCCCGGGCCCCAAGCGCCCTCCCCCTCCTCCTCGTGCTCCCGGCAAGTCCCCCCCACCGCCGCCCACGGCTCGCCCCCCTCCCCCTCGCCGCCGCTCCCCTCCCCCCCCTCCACGGCCGTGAGCAGCTGCGGGGGTACTGAGGAGAGCAGTGTACGGAGTGAAAGAGAAAGAGCACAGAGAAGGCTGCAAGAAGTGGGCGGAGGTGAAAGAGAAGCGTGTGTGGCAGTAGTCGTATCAGCATGGTGACTGCTGGTCTGTCTGTGCAAGACATGGTAGTTGCTGCTGCAAGCACCAAGCTTGTGGACTCAAGGCATTGATATACCGTATCAGTAGCAGATCCTTTTCCCAGGGAAAGCAGGGGTATTCTGGACGTTTATTCAGTTGCTAAGAGGCGCATATTGGCCTGCTTATGTACCATAGTGGGAAGCTGAGCATTGAAGAAGAGGCGCATATTTGCCTGATTCTGTGCCGTGTGTGCATTTCCAAGTCAGCGCATCTCAGATTGGTGTGTGAGAGACCGAGTCACTGAGAGCTCTGTGTGTGTGAGGAGTGCATGAACGTGCATGGTCATGATCAAGCAAGCGCCTGCTACCGGTATACAAGCCACAATCCCACCCCACTAAATGGCAGTGGCTCTGCGGGCACCATTGGAGGAAGCTTGGCTTGCCGGCATTTATTTCATAAACTCCGTGCATCAGCTCGTACACACAACTCCGTGAGCGTGGTTGAACCAGCCTTCACATGGCATGACCACAGGCAAGCCCCACAGAATTCTACGATAATTACACGCACAGCAGCATTCGCCGTCTTGCTTTCTAGATTCACGGTCACAGGGCACCCCATCCTCTTGGCTACCATGCAAGTGCAGCGATGCTGGCATGCACATGGTGAGGCAACAGCCCCACCGACTCAACCGTCACACAACCCCCTCCTCTGTGCTCCCCTGCAAGTGCAGCGATGGTACTAGTGTGCACATCCCCACGGTAGCAAACACCACGCACCACAGCTCCTCCTCTACCCTGTGAATGCAGCGATGGTGGACTGCACGCAGTCGGCAGGCAGCCCCACAGTATCCATCGCCACGCGCCACAGCTCCTCTGCTGCCCTCTCGTTGCGCCCGTGCGCTGCCACCTCGCTGCGCCGCCCGTCGAGGTCAAAGTAGGGCCCGGACAGCAAGCCTTGGTCGCGCACCGCCCTCGCGTGCTCGCCCACGGCCGCGTGTGTGGCGCAGTACAGGGGCGCCAGCGCACCTGGGGGGCAGTAGACGGGGTTGTGGGGAGGGTTGGGGTGAAATGGAAGGGGATTTACTTTATTCAAGGAGGTGTAGTTTCTGGAAGTTTGAGGCAAGGAGGAAAGGACGAGAGGAAGAGGACAGGATGGAGGTTAGGAGGGACGGAGTGGCAGAGGCAGAGAACTGTGCATGTCTACAATAATCAGCGTGTCGCACAAGGGATATTGATCCATCCCCACTGCATGCATGCACGCACGCAGATTGACATGCGTGGGGTACAGAGGGTGGGTGGGTGGGCATACCCTGCCAGGGTTCGAGAAGCAGGGCGTGCATGATGGCACGTTGTAGCTCCTGGATGATCTTGGGGAGAGTGCGCGCCTGCATGGGGTCACAGGGAGGAGTGGGGGAAGAAGTTGTATTTTGACTTGACTCAAAGTACACCCGAAGCAGGGCGTGCATGACAGCACGTTGCAGCTCCTGGATGAACCTGGGGAGAGTGCGCGCCTGCATGGGGTCACGGGCAGGAGGGGAACGAGCGATAGAATAGCGCTGCCACTCTGGGAATACGAGCGTTGCAGCTGGCGAACCATTTAGAGTACAGAGGGAAAAAGGTGGGGTGCATACATTGCTGTGTGCAGCAGATAGAGTGTGACAAGGGGCGATGAGTCTCAGCACGTTGGTGAGCACCTCCCCTTGAAGAAAGTGATGGACGATCCACAGCAAGCCTCCTAGCAGAGGAAAGGTAGCGAGAGCTACAGAAAAGGCATGGACGATTCAAAACTAAAACTAACCCAAAACAGAGGAAAGGTAGCGAAAACGAGGAAACTTGTGAGAATGCTAGACAAAATGTGTGGGTGTGTGAGAGTGAGGGTGCAGTGCAGGTGACTGACCACGTTGGTGAGCACCTCCCCCGGGTGCACTGCCACCACATCAATGTGCGCACTGGCTGGCAAACGACGCTGCAGCACGTTCGTCAGCATCAGCTGAGGCAGGGCACGCAGGGGAGCCGGGTGGGGTGAGGTGAGACACGGTGCGGGAGAGAGGAGGAGAAACGGGAGGGGGGATGGGATTGGGGAAGGGTGGGTTGAACAAAGTGCAATGGCAGATAGGAAGTAAGATATAGAAGCAAGCAGCAAGCTGCAGGAGTGAAGTGAACTGGTGCAGAGGTCACGAGGTTAGGCGGGAGGCAGCAGGAGTACATGGCAGGAAGGGAGGGAGCGCACCTGAGCGAGCTTGCTCTGGTTGTAGGCCGCGGTGGCATTGAAGCGGCGGGTGCGCCCCTTGAAGCTCAAATCGCCCACGTCCAGATCGCCCCATGCATGCATCTGAGGGGGCAAGTGGGGAAGAAGAGCAGAGAAACAGGTGAGACGGTGCCTTTCCACTGGGACAGATTTACTCTATATTGGGAAATGCCTAGCACTGGTCACCAGGGGGGTGGGTGGCATGTCACATGTGACACATCAGAGGGGGAAGGAAGGTAGTAGGCACTGTGCTCTCGTGCAGGGAATGAGGAGCGCTGCTCCCTTGGTGACTCACAGTGGACGACACGTTCACGATGCGAGCGCCGTGGGCGCGCAGCAGGGACGGCAGCAGCAGCAGTGAGAGCAGCAGCGGGCACAGGCAGTTCACCGCTATGTGCTCCTCCAACCCGTCCGCCGTCAGCCGCTGGGGCGCTGGAGGGGGGAATGGAAGAGATAAGAAAGTAGGGACAAGAGGTGCGGTGAGGAGGGAGGAGGGTGGAGCAGGATACAAGTTCAGGTCGCGTGTATCGACGCACCCTGCCAGGTCAACAAGCAACGGCGGCGAGGCACGGCCCTCGGCGGGCGCACCTCCCATGGAGAAAATGCCCGCATTGTTCACGAGCACGTGCAGCGGACGCGCCTCCGCCTCCCACGCGCGCGCGAACGCGCGCACCGACGCGAGCGACTCGAGGTCCACCTGGCGCACCTCCGCGCTCACGCCTGCGCCACCCGCCTCGCCCTGCCACGCCGCGATCAGCTTGCTGGCGGCGTCCGGCCGCCGGCACGCCAGCACGACGTGCGCGCCCGCTAAGACTAGCTGCCTGCGGAACGGGTGGGGGAGCGCAGCGGAAGCAGGCGAGGGGAGGGATTCAGCTGGCAGTTGCGAGGACGAGTGGCTGCGGGGCCTCGCACGTGCTCACTTGGCGATCTCGAGGCCAATGCCGCTAGTGGGTCCCGTGACGATGACGGTCTTGCCGCGAATGCTGGGGTCGCACGCCCACTCTGCGATCCCCCGTCGCTTGATCATGTGTCGCTGTACGATGATCTCCCACACGATGCGAATACATGCGACGATCTGCTGCCATAGGCCGACCCTGATGCGCGCTAATGCCATGGCGACGCGACGACCCTCCCCTTACGAGATTATCTGGACAGAAAGAGGGGTGCTATGCCGTTCGTCACAAAATTCCTGGCCCCCAAAACATGCCCACAATCGTAGCATTCTTTCAGGTATCCTACGTGAGCTATGTTCGAACTGCTTCCAATCATGCAGGGAAGGTTGGGTTTCGGGGGAGGCGCCTGCATCAGACAAGTAACAGCGTGTGGGGGGTTTAAAGTCAGACCCGCTTCCCTCTAAAGTTTATTCACTTTGCAATTGTTGATATTTTTTTGTTCATTTGCACCAGCAACTAGGCCCAGCAGTTTGCGTACTGTAGCCAGACTTGTGTGCCAAACCTAGGGTAGGTTCGGGAATGGTGTACAGTATCATCACACCGACAAAACTGGCATTCCTTCAGTCCAGCGTGTTGCGACGTCAACACACCACCCTCGGAGTCAGGAGCATCTGGTTACACGGCGATTTTGACCAGCGTAGCAAGACCATCACATGCTGCCGAAAACCAATGTTACAGCGTAGCATGTGCACAGTTTTCGGCACATGACGAAACATTTTTGTGCTCTGATCGTGGTTCTGTTCTTCTAAAACTCAATCCTGAGCTAGGCAGCCCCGTCACCTCGAGCACCTATTTCAGGCTAGCAAAATTTAGAAAGCTTGCTTTCTTATACTGATCATTTGGCATCGTTCTCATTGCAACTGGCAAATTACAACATGCACCTCGAGCTAGACAATATAGATGCTAGTACATGACCTGATTCCACCTACCATAGCATTGTACTAGCTATCCTGCATTATGCGTGCGCAGGGCTGACGATATCAGACTATTTTAGTCTGATTGTCTGAAATTTCAGACTATTTTCCTGACATTCCTGATTTTTCAGAGTTGGCTGGTTTTGAAAAATGAGTGCTTCAGACTAATGGTTTTTTCGATACTGAAAAATTCAGAGAACTTGCTTACCGGATAATGAGTTTTCATACTACAGAGTACGAACTCTGAGAAGAAACAAGAGATGAATGAACTATGAATGAATTGGGTACAAGTACTAACCCTAATTGGGTTGTACCCCTTATGGACTACCCCACTATAGCCTACACAATATGCGTGAGCTATAATGTTCTGACACACCCCCATAGGCAAAGTGGAGGAGAACAAGGGGTCACAAGACCAGTCAAGCAAAGCAAAGCAAAGCAAGCTCAGGGTGGATCACAAAGTCACCACACATTCCGAGCACAAGTTCAAGGCCTCAAGGCCAGTTCACATGCAGGAGTACATATATATGAAAAGGCTAGACAAGCAAGAGCAGGTATATATATATGTAACAGTACAAGCAAGGTCAAGAGGTGAGCAAGTGAGGCAAGGTAGGCACAAGGCCCAGCTGAGTACAGAAGCGCTGATGGTCACAAGGCGCAAGCGCCTTGGTGAAGATATCAGCAGTGTTGGCCTCAGAGGCCACGTACGCAAGACGCAGCTGACCACGCTGCTGCAGCTCACGAGCAAGAAAGTAGCGGAGAGCAATGTGCTTCGTTCTGTGCTCCAGTCGCTGCTCCCGACACAAGGCCAGCATGGCCTTGTTGTCTACGTACAGCACTGGAGGAGAACGAGGCAACTCTCCGAGGTCAGTCAGCAGGTAGGTGAGCCAGCGAAGCTCCTGTGCAGCCATGGCTCCTGCGTAGATCTCAGCCTCACAACTGGAGCCGAGAACAGAAGACGAGCGAGTAGCCCGCCACGAAACAGAGCCGGAACCAAGGCTGAAGGTGTAACCCTGTGACGACCGCTGCGTAGCCTGGTCGTCAGCCCAAGAAGCGTCTGCGTGCCCAGTAAGGACCACTGGACTCTGCCCTCCAAGCACCAGCCCCATGCCCGACGTACTGCACAAGTAGCGCAACACCCTCTTCGCTGCAGCCATGTGCTCCGGTCTGTGTCTCCCAGGAGCAACATAGCGTGCAAGAATGCTAAGAGGGTATGCAAGGTCAGGTCGTGTGTAGGTCATCAGGTACATGAGGCAGCCAACAAGCTCTGGGTACGGGCCACTCGACTCTACGGACTCATCCGAAGGCAGAGCTGAGAGCGAGTGGCGAGTAGGCAGAGGAGTGGCCTGAGGCGAGGAGTACGTGAAGCCGAAGCGCTGAAGGACCTGCTGCACCATGTGTGACTGAGTCAGGGTAATGGTGCGGCGTGCTCTGTCCCGAGTGATCTGCAAGCCAAGGTAGCTGCGCAGTTCACCCAGGTCAGAGCACGTGTGTCTCTTCTGCAGCTCGGACTTCACGTGGGCTAGTCCTGCAGTGTCAGCTGTGGCAAAGACCAAGTCGTCGACGTACACGAGGATGTAGAACCGCGGCAAAGAAGTGTCGGTGCGCAGAAACAGCGACGGGTCGGCAGTAGAGGGAGCAAACCCAAGAGCCGCAAGTGTAGTCCTCAGTGTGTCGTGCCACTCACGCGGTGCTTGGCGGAGACCGTAGACTGGCCGCCGTAGGCTCCACTGGGTGCCAGGAGGAAAAGACCCAGTGAAGCCAGGTGGGCGACGCAGCCAGATCTCCTCGTGCAGGCTGCCCTGCAAGAAAGCAGTGCTGAAGTCAAGAGAGTGTAGCTCGTAGTCACGGTGAGCAGCTACGTGCAGCAGTACCCGAAGAGTGGTCATCTTCGGGGTGGGAGAGAAGGTCTGAAAGTAGTCAACTCCCTGCCGCTGACTGAAGTCACGAGCCACGTAACGCGCCTTGAAGACAGGCGGAGAACCCGGCGGTCGCTTCACCCTGAAAATCCACATGCCACTGACGATGTTCGCCCCAGGAGGGGGAACAGCGTCAACGTAGGTGCCTGTGGACTTCCAGGAAGCCATCTCTGCGTCCATAGCTGCCTGCCACTGAGAGGAGTAGGGACCCTCTATCGCCTCCGCGTAAGAGCGCGGAGTCGGGATGTCAAGTGCATCCGGGTCTCCCTCAGGGGTAAGCAGTACGGACACGAGATGAGGTGAAGCAGCGGCCAAGCACTGGAACTCCTCCTGCCTGTCCTCAAGGACGTCCGTGCCAAGGGCACACTCACCCCCGACGGACGGAGGACAGACAGACTCAGACTCAGCAACAAGACTGGCGACGTAGTCTAGGCGACAGCGAGCAGCAAAGTCGACGAGCTCAGCAACTAGGGCAGACGCAGCAGTGGACTCAAAGGAAGGGTCAGTGACAACAGTAGCAAGGAGACGCGTGACAGTAGGACTGGCAGCACGAAGAGAGTCCGACTCCGGGTCGGCAAGAGCAGGAAGAGAAGACTCAGGAGGAGAAGGCAAAGGGGCACGCAGAGGAGCAGTGGACGGACGCAGAGACATCCGGTGCGTGCCAGGGACAGGAGGAGGACGCTGACGCGAACCGCGACCACTAGTGCGAGCAGCACGGACAGGCGACGCAGGGCGAGACGCAGGCTCACGACGCTCAGCAAGACCTCCAGTAGGACCAGTGTAGGGAGACGGAGCAGGCAGTGGGGAGGCCGGCTGTAACTGTAACTGCGACGGGACAGGCTGTGGACACTCTAAGGGAGGAGGAGGACCAGTGGAAGGCGGGAGACCAAGAACCTGCTGAAGGAGCGGAACGAAGTACGGCCGAGGCCGCGCGGCGACTCCAGACACAGGAGGGACAGCACCAGCACCCGTAGCAGCTCCAGCTCCAGAACCCCCAGCAGCACCAGTAGTACCCCCAGCAGGACCGCCTCCAGGACCGACAGCAGTAGCCTCCGCGCCAACACCCGCAGCAACTCCAGCTCCAGAAGTACCCGCAGGTCCAGCAGCTCCAGTACTCCCAGTACGAGCACCTCCGGGACCCGTGGCACCAGCTCCCTCAGCAGCAACAGAACCTCCAGTACCCGCAGCACCTCCAGCTCCAGCAGCTCGCCTCCAGCGCCGGGCAAACCACTCACGCAGCTCCTGGGGAGAGAGTGGCTCCCGGCGAGAAGGAGCACCCGGAGAACCGCCAGGCACAGCACCACCAGGCGTAGCACTCCCACGCTCAGCACCCCCAGTCGTAGTACCCCCAGACTCAGCACCCCCAGACTCAGCACCCCCAGGCTCAGCACCCCCAGGCGTAGCACCCACACGCTCAGCACCCCCAGAGTCAGCACCCCCAGGCTCAGCACCCGCAGCAGCACCAGAGTCACCAGCGACCTCGACAGGCTCAACAGCGTCTACCTGGGACACACCTGAAGGGGCAGGACCCTGAGGGGGGAGGGGGTCTACCGGGGGGGGACCTGGTACAAGGAAGAGCGGTGGCGGGGGGAGGGACGGAGTGCGGTAGGGGAAGAGGCGGTAGTAGGGGACCGACTCGTCGAACGTGACGTCCTGGGAGGACAGAACACGGCGAGAGGTGGGGTGGTAGAACTGCCACCCTGGGGCGTCAGAGGGGAAACCCAGGAAGACGCAAGGAGCAGCACGAGGGGACAGCTTGTCCGCAGACAAGTCGCGGACAAACGCCCGAGATCCCCAGACACGGAACGCAGACGCATCGCCAACCTTCCCCGTCCACAGCAAAGCTGGGGAGGTCTCCGGCATGGAGACCCTGGGCTGAAGGTTGATCTGATGCGCCGCGTACCGAACCGCAAACGGCCACAGAAAATGGGGGGCAGCCGCATGCATCATGGACGTACGGGCGACGTCCATGACCATGCCAATGCGGCGCTCAGCAATCCCATTTTGCTGTGGAGAGTCCGGAAGCGTGAAGGTCTGGCGGATGCCTCGTGCACGACAGTAGGCTCGCAGAAGGCCAGAGGAGAACTCTCCGCCTCTGTCAGAGTGCAGACGCAGAACAGGAAAGTCCGAGCCGAAGCTCCGCCTGAGCTGGAGACGAGCTGCGCTAATCCAGTCGATCAACACCTCAGTGACATCACCCTTGCTGCGCAAGGGGAAGACTGTGGTGTAACGCGAGTAGTCGTCAACCACCAGCAGGAAGTAGCGCTCGTGACCCTGTCCACGGACGCGGGCCGGGCCCCACACGTCCATGTGAAGCGTCTGCAGCGG